AAATTTCCAGAGTCCTTGGGAATTCTCTAGAGCAATTTAAGCATTTGTTTTCAGGTTAATTGCTTGGTAAAGAGGTGGAAATCTGAAAGAAGAACCAAACTCTGAAGGGTTACACACCACTGCCAAATGAACAGTAAGACAGTGCTGACACTTCCCAGATGTGATGGGAGCAGGAAGAGCTGTACCTGCTGGATCAGGCTGGTGGTTTCTCCTCCCCTCTCTCTCACTCTTTAAAATCTTGTCTGTAATCTCTGCTTTGTCTTAAATTTTGGATGCTTATACAGAAATCACTTCTGGGAGAAGGGGGACCAAATAAGTTATTCATGCACACACCCGTGCACCAGTCTGTGATTGCGTGCTTCCGGCTCACTGGACTCTGATAAACACCTCACCTTCTACAGGGAAAAAGAGAGGGAACCCATGAGCTCCGGGTTAGCATTTCAGGGACTCAGAAAGCACCGAGAGATCTACTAGGGTAGACCAGATGTCTGCAGGGCTTCTAAATCTTTTTGATTTTGATGCCAGCGTGATTTTGCAAAGATGGGTTCAGACCTGCTCTGGAGCCACTGTAGCTATGTGGGTTAAACTGAGATGAACTTGTTACAGCTCCAGCATCGCTGGCTTCAAAGGTCTGAGAAATGTTCTTTGACGGAGACCGAGTAGCTGGATGCACTTCCGCTGCTGATGCCAGCACTGCCCCGTGGTCCTCCCCTTATTTTCTAGCAGCTTTCTTAGGACTTGCAATGGGATGGAGACGGTTATGTAAAGCCTTGGTGGACTTTGTTTTGCTTTTTTTTTTCCTTCCTGTTTTTGGCTCATATAGCAAGTTCATGGTAATTATTGAGCAATTTATTTTAACCACACTATTCCTCAATTTCCTTATTAGTAATGTCATCTTGTTGTCTTGTTTATAAGCAGCTCTGAAACATTTGCAAGCACACAAAATGTTGGTAAGTATCCAGAGTAGATATCCTTATTTCTAAGCTACTTGCTGGCTTTCTGATTGTGGCGGCTGCCCACCTCAGACTTATCTGAAGTGATTGCTAAAATGCAGAATCCCAGGCCCCCTCCAAACCTGCTGAATTAGAATTCCAAGGGATGCAACCAGGATCTGTGTTCAGGCTGGGTGTGTGGCCACGCCTGCAATCTCAGCGGTCAGAGGCCCAAGGCAGGAAGATCATGAGTTTGAGCCCACCTGGGCCACGTAGCCAGACCCTGTCTCAAAATAAAACAAAACAAAATGATTGAAACAGACATCTCCTTGGGTGAGTCTGATGCACTCCAGAGTATCACTTTGAGTGCCTCTGTTTTTCGGTAAACCTGAGATCGAATTCAGAGAGTTGGATCACTTAAAAATCCCCTGGTATCTCCCAGGGTTTTCTGGGCTAACGCAGGCCCGACCATGTTCCCCAGAGGTACTGCAGATTGTGATTCACTTGTTCCTTTAAAAACTACCTTCAGCTTACTTTGGCTTTCCTTGTCCTCACAGTGGAGGTGACTGGTAGGACTGGCCGTTCCTAGTCAAGGGTGGCATGAAATTAACACCCCTGATTCGGAAAAGGATGATGCTGGCCAGCCATGTCTGCCTGTTGTCGGCTTAGGGCTGGGCTTCCCCTAGGAGCCCAGGGTGCAGCTCCTGTGCTGGATTTGACCGCTGTCTTGTTTATGACCCTGAGGATTTGTTTAGGACCCTGTTTATGTCCCCTGTCCCTCAATCTCATGTGATCCTATCCCCTCCTCACGAAGCAGCTTCCAGAGGAGCAGTGTGGATTGCTCAGGACAGCTGTGTGATGGGGACTGCTTTGCTCAGCCAGGTGGGGTACAGTGAGCAGTAATAACACTCTTTCTTCTGTGTGGAGGGGAACAGAAAGGAGTGCCCCTCTTCCCTGTGGGTAGAGACTGACAAGGGAGCGTGGGCTCCTGGAGGTGCCAACCCAGTATCGTGGTGTCCACAGAGGTGTCACAGAAGCCTCGGGAACACAGCAGAGGTTCCCCTTCTCTGCTCATGCCTAGGAGGAAAGATCGCTGCTCACCCCAGCTTCCCCCCCACCGCCTGCCCTCGGAGACACCTGCGCTGCCCTTTGCCGCGTTGCCACCTCCTGTCTTGGAGGTGCCCTGCCTTTGAGCCATGTTACTGGTTTCCCTGTTGTTGAAAACCAGCTAAACCAATCGCACAAACAGCAGCTTCCACACACACGGTCACCATCTCGCTGCCCCGAGGACCCACAGTGGTGCAGAGGTGCAGCCTGGAGCCCCCGCCTGCATCTCGGCCTCCTCCTCTTCTCCTCATGCAGCCTGGGCAGGGGCTGTGCCAACCCTGAAGCCCGAGCTCACGGCACCTTCCTTCTTCCGGCACAGTGAGGGTCTTTATAGCTTAGCACATACATCACCACACAATGCTGACACTTTGGAAGTGAATGCATTTCATTTCCACTCAGATGGCAGCTATTAAAAATTAAAACATTTAAAAACATGAACAGAAAATAAGTGTTGGAAAGAGTGGGAGGAGCCAGGACCCTGGCTGCTGCCACCGGGGCAGATGTACAGTGGGCAGCGGCATTCCATGTGACCCCACGCTTCCACCTCCAGGTGCACCCCAGAACAGTGAAAGCAGGGATCTGCATGGGTGCCTTTGCACCCACACTCCTAGAAGCATTATTGGCAGTCTTTGTGGAAACAGCTCCTGGCTGTGGACAGATGAGTCGGTAAAGGAAATGCGCTATGTACATACAGCAGACTATTAGTCAGAAGGGCAGTTCTGACCTGTGCATCAGCAGGAATCTTGAACACTTCATACTAAGTGAAATCAGACAGGCACAGTATACAAATACGTGAATGTTTTCACTTATATAAGTGGGTCAGAGTGGCCAGAAACAGGGTAGATGGTGGGTCCTGGGCACTGGCTAGAGAGAGGAGCAGGGGTTGCTCTGGAAGTGTGACAATGGCTGGGAGTGATGTAAATGCACCCAGTGCTGCAGTGCTGTGCATTTTAAAATAGTTACAGTGTAAATCTCACGCTGTGGACATTTTCCACAGTGCAAATGGTGGAAAGAAGAGAGAAACAGGTCAAGGTAAAGAGCAGGAAGGGCACAGAGCAAGCAGCCTGGGAGGAAGGCGTTCCATCTTGCTGGCCACCAAAGAAACGAAAATTTAAAAGTGACAGGGAGGTAGCGTCTTCCAGTCCCGGGCAGCTTCCAGTCTAACACAGAAAGCCTGGCACATGGTTCTGTTCAAAATGCACTTCCCGTCCGCTGCTTCTCCTCTCCCCTGGAGCAGACATGCGGTTAGTCAGTGCTTCAGATGAGGGAGGTTTTAAACATCCCTGGACTCTTTCAGTGCTGTAGTTGAATTTTTAGAAGTAAAACCTTTTTCTCAAGGCCCAAGTTGGGGTTCCAATATAAAGAGATGCCATATGAATTCTATCAAATGCAATTCTGAAATGTTTATTGTACTGAAAAAAAAATGTTTGCATGCAGTGATGAATGAGAGAATTTCCACCTATCATCCCAGCGCAGAGAGCATCCAGGTAAACTGTGCGTCGTGCTATTTCTGTGCCCTCGATCTGGCGTTCTTCCAGCAGAGCACGTCCCAGTCTGTTTCTAATGAGCCACGCGGCCGCACACCTGCTTCTCTGCCTCTCTTGTCTCACTCACACTTTGCACCGGCCACTGCTACCTCCTGTAATTTATTGAAGGCAATTGGAGTAAATCTTTTTCATGACAGGGAAGTGTAGCTAATAATACATCTATTAATAATTAATCAAAGACTGTGAACAGGTGTTCTGTTAAGCCTTTTATGTTATTTTATTTAATGTTCACATCCTTCTTGGACAAGTTGTATAATTACAGGTGAGAAAATCCACATTTCAATAACTCAGTCTGGATCACACAGCTCATTGGACCCAGCTCTCCCTGGCTCCGGAGTCCTGATCTTTCCAGTGTGTTCTGCCACATGCAAGAATACAAATTATTCTTACTTCATACATAAAAGTCATTTATAAGAGTACATGTTTGCACCTGCTATTCTGTGGAAGTAACCTGTTGATCATGGTTCCTAAATTTTCCTATAAATTCAGGAGCATTTTAAATACTCAGGACGCTTTAACCACTGTGTATGTTCAGAACAGAATGCTTCCCATTCCGTATCAAGGGTGCAGATTTGCTTCCTGATAAGATGTACTATTTGGAGGCTATTTTTTATTGTGATTCAGGTGCAAATAACAGGAAACCATATTTTTCCCCCTATCTTGGCAAAAGGAGGTATGTCTAAAAAAAGAATACTTGTGTAATAGCATTTACATGGGCATTCTTTTCCTGCACTGTGAATAGGAAGAAGACAGATCATAGCATGAGATTCAGAGAAGTAACAATGGCCTACCGACTTGGACGCTGAAGTGCAGCCAGGGGCTTTCCTGAGACTCGGAGCCGGGGGCGGCTGAGGCGTTGGTGTGGTTCCCGCCTGGGAGAGCGGGGCCGTGCCAAGCCTCAGGCAGAGACGCCAGGCCCGGTGGCTGACGGGAAAGTACATTCCTCTACTGCACCTTGTAGCTGAGACTTTATATCTTCAAAACAAAGGGTCTCACACCAAAGGAAGAGTAAAACAAAAATAAAAGTTAGCATGCTTTTGTAGTTCATACACAAATTGTAATGCATATTGAGTACAGCTTTGAAATGGTTGTGAACAAATGTAAGGAAGATAGTCCTAAAGATATTTTCCTATTTTCCGTGAAGGACTCAATCCTGAGTCTTTTAAGTCAAAATGTTTTCAGAGTTTTCCCAAAAGGAAAATTGGCTATGAATAGATCTGAATATGAAAGGGAAACATGCACACACACGCATACGCACAAATGTACACACACATGCACATGCACACACACGCATACGCACAAATGCACACACACATGCACATACCCACTGCACATGCATGCACACACACACACGCACACATGCGTGCTCATTTCCAGGCCTTGGCCTAACCTCTGCCGCTGCTTCTCTTTGCAGAGCTCACACGTGTTTTAACCGCCTGGACCTGCCCCCATATCCATCCTTCTCCATGCTGTACGAGAAGCTCCTGACAGCAGTGGAGGAAACCAGCACCTTTGGACTCGAGTGAGCTGCAAGCACAAAGTCCAGCTCTTTGGGGACAGGCAATTCCAAAACTGTGGCCGCCAGGAGACAGAGTGGACAGGGGGAGTGCCAGGGGCTTCCGTTGGAGCAGGGCTGAGCGCTGTCACTTCCAGGAACGCATGCTCCTGCACTTGGGATGGACCACGCATCCTCGCGCCGGGATGTGGGTGAGCTTGATGCCCGGGAAACAACGCTACAGTCTCTCAATCAACAGTTCTTGACTGCCAAACGTTTTCCATTCCTTAGCTCCAAGACAAAGATGAACCTGTCTATGACCAGCTCCACAGGAATTTTTAGGGACTCAGGAGAACCTTGAAACTTACCTTTGAACGTGGTTCAAGCCAAACTGGCAGCACTTGGCCCAATCTCCAAATTAGTGCAAGTCCATTAATACAGTAAAAAAGTGTATTTCCTGAAGGTACATCCCCTTAAGCCCTCGAGTCACAGCAAAATATTCATTTCTCGCTTTTACTGTCTGCGTGGTGTGCACCGCAGGTTTTAGCTCTCACAGGACACGAGCGAACCTGAACCCCAGGCAATGTAAGGTAACTTTGAAGATTTGCAATAAGGCGGTTTGTGACAATGTATATGCAAATGGTATGTGTGTAATTATGGCTGAGGCCCGCTGATAGTCACTGAATTACTAAGGACAGATTCTATGCTTTATAATGCATGAAAACAATTTTAAAATAACTAGCAATTAATCACAGCCTACCAGGAACGTGTTCACAGTGAGTTCTGTTTGTTTTCGACGGGGTCATCGTGTTTCTGTTCTGTGAGATGTATATAAGGGCCCCCAGCAGCCTGGGGGCTCCTCCCATCCGTGTGTTCTGTGCTTTCTTGGGCATCATGCTAGTCTGCATTCTTTTAAGCACTCTCAAGGGAAGAAAAGGGCCTTTTATTTTTATAAAGGTAAAAAAAAATTCCCGCAATATTTTGCACTGAATGTACCAAAGTTGAAGGGACATTACAATGGGACAAACAGCAATTCCATCACCTAACAGTGTCCTAGAAACTAGCTTCCCAATCAGACCCCCTCACAGTGCCACCTCAGCCCTCCAAGGACTGCGTGCTCAGAACAACTTTTTAACACTCACTCTACGTGATAGTATGATATGCATTTATTTCAAATGCATTAGATCCTCTTCCATCCATCAGATACTTTCCAGGATGGCATTTAATACAGATATTTCGTATTTCCCCACTGCTTTTTATTTGTACAGCATCATGAACACTAAGCCCGGTTAGGGATCCGTCAGCAACACCGAGAGACCAGCTCTCTTAGGTAGTCAGAGCCCATTCTCCCTCAGCAGCAGAGACACCACAGATCGAAACTCTCAGCTCTGTATTTCTAAACCTGCATTTTCACTGATACATAACTTTCTTATTAATATCAAAAAACAGTTTTTCTATGGTATCACAAAAGCTGCATGCCATCGCTAACCTGATTTCCACTTCATTTCAGGAGAAGGTGTCCTGCGTTTCTATGGTTTTGGGATTACTTCACCCATGGCTTAGCCCTTGGTTGATGGCCATAATCAGCCAGACACACAGCACAGTAGAGTTAAGTGGAGGCTGTAAAAGCACTGAGTTAATGTGGGGGTGGCTGTGGGCATTGTGGGGACATGTTTTGGGGTACCGCATTTATAAGTAGCTGTGGGGTTCCCATGGTGAATGTTGACTGTCCCATGTTTCGAGGAGGTCATCTGCATGGCTTCATGGGTGTTTTGTAAGAATTCATTGCTCTCTGGTTAGTGATGCTATTATTATTATTATTATTATTATTATTACTATTATCGGGACCCTATAGAGGACTATGCCAGTGATACTGCGTTCCCCCACTGAAGGCAAATAATACGGCATGGGAGATGTTTTAAAAAGCAACGTTCCAGAAACCTGGAAATAAAGGAAGATGTATCTGTATGCAATAATTGGGCCAGGGAAAAAAAGGGCAGAGGATAACTTTTAACTGGAAATATTAGTTTGTATTTCTGGATCATGAATATAACTATATAATTTTGCAAATGGTTTTTACTTGTTTGTATTTTTTCATTATAAGGAAAAGCAGTATAACACACTAACATACTTTTTTTAAGAGAAAAATCACATGTTTCAGAGTTGACATTCTCTAGACAGCTGATATGAAAGTTTGCGTTTCTTTTTAAAAAAAAATACCTTCATAGACCATGTTAGTTTTCATTTGGTTTGAGAAAACTTTGTTATGTATGTCATACTACTAGGGAAAAGAGACTTGAAATAAAATGTATCTCTTGAATTATTTTTAACATATATTTCTTTATTAAGGCATCCAACTTCTCAAGTAACAGTTCCCTTTAATGTACGCAGACATTCTTAATTAGACTGGCCTAGCTGACACTGTTCTCAAAATTGAGAATTATGGAAGATGTAGCTAGCCTATTAGAAAACCCTGGCAATCTAGCTAATATTCTTCATTAGTAAAACAAAAAGCAGCAAAAATTACTGTATGAAATATTAAATAGCACTTCCTCAGGATAAATTAGACTTTAATATACTCTACAATTAGAAGTATCCTAAGTATGTTCTGGACGGTGAGCCCAGACAAATCCTTGGCTTTTGGTTTTAATAAATTCCTAAGTGATGCTCTTTACACTCGAAAAGACAGTCAGGCCACATCTCGGATGTAGGCAGTTCATCTCGGGGTAAGAGGTCATGGGACCACAGGCATCCCAAGTCTATCACGGGGTTTGATGACCGCGCTGCAGGATGCTAAGCCAGTCGGTGAGAAGTTCACAGTCCAGTAGAAAAGGCACTAACCCTCGGAAAAGAGTACTTTAAACAAACAATCTTAAATTCTGCCATCAAGGAGTGAAGAGAGAGCAGCCCGTCCGTCCACCTGGGTGATTCCATCCGCCGTGTCTTTGTTTATGGGAGAGAGTGGCTAAAATAAACCCCGCTGTGCTGTTCCTGCTGGTCTCGAAGGGCGTGTGTCAAGCCTGTTGAAGCCGGGCACTTACACGGATGGCTTAGAGTGGGTGGCTTTAGGCTCAGGGGTGAAGGAGCAGCCTCGGAGTCTTAAATTAAGAAACAAATGCCAGAGTGAGGTCCTGTGCTTTCCCTCTGGTCCTCGGCACCTGTACTGCAGTGCAGCTTCAGTCTGTGGTCTTTGTGTCCAAGACACTGACGGGCTCAAGACGCTTTTCTCATGCACAAAACAAATGGATCTGGGTGATAAAATCCAGAAAACAGGACTGACTTAGAAAGAATGTAAGTTTTACAGAACTGGGACATAGCTACCAGTGACAGTCTCATTCATTTAATTCTCAAGAAATGAGGTGCCCAAGACGCGGAATCACGTGCATAACCGTAAAAATGGGGAAAATGCGTGCAGATAATGGTAAGGGTAGACTGCATTTGTCGGTGCTTCTAGGTCCATGGTCTCTCTTCATCGCAAGAAACATGGAGACTAATGGTTGTTCCAGTATTTTCTCCTTTCAACCAGTTTTGGAAGATGCTCCATCTATCCAAACTCTCACTTTCTTAAATAAACACACTTAAAATGTGACACCTTCTGAAAATTCCATTAAGAAACTAATATATTCCCGGAGCAAAAAACGTCCTCATAGAGATTTAATTGCTTTTCACTGTTTGCCTTGATATGTTTAAAACAGAAGACAGAATTTGATTGCTTTTGGTGGATTTATATAGAATAGCAATACAGTTTGCAAGTACCATTTGGAAACAATATCATGGGAAAAAGAAGCCATATTTTCACTTTTAATTTTTAATGAGGATGCATCTAGAAAGCCCTGGTAGCCAAATCCCGTGAAACAGAGGAGACCACATTTTTTCTTCTTGTCTTCCCCACATTTGGTCCAAAAGCCTTTTTTCTCCTATCTTTTTACCCAAGTATTATTTATAACTTGGCCATTTCTAATGTAGAAGTCTAATTTAACCTTATTCGTGAAAACTTGTTAAAAGGTTACAGTCACCCTGCATTAATAGTAGAAATGTATAGGAGGCCTAAACTCAAAGCCATGTCTGAATCTCAAACCCTCTTCCTCCACTTAGCAGCTTTCTGATTTGGTTGATGAGTGACAGCACTCTGGATCTTGGTCCTCTCCTTCCAAGAGACTTCGGTTTACATTTAACGGGAATGCCACTTGGAATCTGCTTCCTAAGTTGCAAAGCTTGCTGCCTAGCACAGAAGCAAGAGGGTACTTAAGACCCAAAAGCTGTCTGAATTGTGGCTGAAGGCCCACTCCTGCTCTGGATGGGTGACGAAAGCAGAAAGGGAAAGGAGCCAGCCGTTGTGCCACCCCCAAGAATGCAATGCTGATTATTGACCGTCCAGTTCAGGGCTGGCAGCCGCCTTCTGGGGGCAGGCGCCAAGGGCGTGCTGGGTGTGGTGCCACTCGTCAGGCCAGGGCTGAAGGGTGTGGGAGACAGGACGGGAGCCACGGCAGTGGGCAGACATGGGTGAAGGATGGGCTCAGATCCAGGCTGAGGGAGGCGCACACACAGATGTGGCTTCTGACTTTGGACAGAAGAGTGCCCTGCCATTACTCGGGGCTCTTCCTGGCGGAAAATACCTGGCAGGAGAAACTCTTGTTTCGTAACTTCACTGGGTTAGCATTTGCAAAGCAGAGTTTAAGGCCCGGGGATTAAAGCTACCTAGAGCTTAGGAGATTCAACGATTTTACATTTGCATTTAAGAGTAGTGTCACTACTGTTGAACACCATGCATGAAATAAAGGAAAGAGTGCTTTTCCATCATGGTGCCTACTTGTTTAGTAAGCTGCCATCCTCTGCCATTGGAATGGCTTTTGAGGCATTTTCATGCTGGAATGGCAATTTCGATGCTCCCTGTTCAACTAGAGAGCAAAATCCTAAGCGTGAGGTTACTCAGTGCTAAGTGGAGACCTAGTCATCTTTTCCAACCAAGAAGCCAATTAGGGCAGGAAATACATTTGCTTAGATTTTTATCTGCAAAGTACTTTGTGTGGTGTTCATGATTGACCAGCTCAGCAGAACAGGATGGCTCTATCTTACGGGTTTTGGGGACACAGGAGAATCAAATTTATAGACATGACTTTGCTGTCACATGCCTTGGGCAGGTGATGTCGTTCTATCCAGCTTTCTTTGAAGGTATTACAGCCCCAGAGACTGTTGTTTGGTGGGCCATAGGACTCAAACCGAATCAATCAGCTGTACTGTCACCCTCTGTGGAACCCCAGGATAATGCTCAAGAAATACCTTGGCGGCTTAACGAGGAAACACAGAGAACTGAACGTTCCTTCAGGACCCTAATGCTCCAAAAGATGTAATTACAACCTATGTTTCTTTACATGATACTAAAGTCAAATCCGGGCCTGTTCATATGTTGGAAAGTGCATAAGATTACATGTTTTTACAACAGGGGATGCAGGCATTCCAAAATAAATGAATGCAAACATGCGTCTCTCCTGCCTCTTACTGGAAGTATTAATCTAATTTTATAATGCTTTTTAATATTAAGGCTCTGTAAAAACAAATTTCTTTCTAAGATCTCAGTAGATCACAGGTGGAGTATTTTTTTAAGCCTTTCCATCTCTCTTCGCCGGTGCCACTCATGTCCCGCACACCAGGAGTCACGGTCGATAGTGGTGTCTTCATTTTTGTGGAGCTGATTTAAGTTTCATATTTCCTCCATGTGACTTTTAATAGAGAGTAATAATGGGAGATATTTGATGTTAGGATTAAGGAAACGCAACTCTCATTTCACCTTACATTGAAATTTCTTTCTTTCTTTTTAAAACAAATAACGCAGATTGTTGACACCCTAGATCTGGTGCATGGGTGGTGTTGTTTGGAGCCTAGGACTGCTCGTGGGCTGGTTGTTCATTTTCTGGGAAGTCTGTATTCTTATCCTCCCCTGAACCCCTGACTCTTGCGTTGTATTTTTTTATGATTATGAAATGCTTTGAGGGAGAGATATTTTAATGTGTACAATTTGTTTTATTTTCATACTGATCTCTATTTTTGTTTAAAACCATGTTACATCATGAAATCACTTAATCCAAAATAAATCTTCTTTTAAAAAATAGACCATGATTTTTCTGTCATACTTTTGAAAAAGAAAACAACTCAAGAGGAAAAAAAAACAAAAGTAAGAAATAAATGTCTCAGGGAGCTACTCAGGGGACCACTCTTGGGGATACAAGATGCTCTCTTTCTGTTGTATTTATGGTTAGAAATTGATCTTGTTTATCCCTATGAGAAAATTTTACTGTTCGATAAGCCATAAATTAATGTTAAAGGAAAAAATTAACACAGAGCATAGTCTCTTAACTCAGATGGTTGAAACTGTTTGTTAGGTCATCTTGACTGAATGCTTAGTAAACATATGCATGCGTACACACACGCGCGCACACACACACACACACGCACACACACACACACACGCACACACGCACAGTTACCACAACAGCTTAATCTGGCAGTCACTCACCTGCCTGCAGGGACCAGGTGTGTATTTTGAGGAAAACTGGCTTAGTGTAAGTGACAGAGATAATGAGGGGACTTGAAATATTTTATTCCAGAAGATCTGGCCAGTGAAATTCAGGTCCAGTGTTGAAATAACCTCTGATGCATCAAGATAAACTTAAAAATCCAAATTCTTACATAAATAGTTTCATATTTTTAAAATACTCGGTGGATCAAGCTAACCATGTCTATAGGTTGAATTTGCTGTAAGGTCATGAGTTAGGAAGCTTGATTTAAAAATGTTACCAAGACACAGCAGTTTACAGAAAAAGATGGGGAAAGGAGAAAGGTAGATATATACTTTGAGAGCAGTCAGTTACAGAGCATGTGTGGGAAAATGATCTACTTACACGCATCTTTCTGAAAACCAACTTGAGTTAATTCATTTGAGTTAAGAGTGTCTTTGTCAGAATTTCGTGGAGCAGATGTAGCATTAAACTCTTTATTCTGTGATTTATGTTGCAAATCACCTTCATATACTCCCAAAACACACAGAAGGCTGAGACTCAGTGTCTGCAGATGGCTGCAGTTTGACCTTGGTATTGACGTGGAAGTCTCTGCACTGACTTCCTGTTTTTTGCACCATCCCCCTTCCTTCATATGCATTTATTACCATCGATTTATCTGCCTTCATTACATGCTGTTAATGTGAAACTTAAATCCACCTAACTAGTGGGCAGGTGATAATATGTACTTCCTTCCCTCTACCATCCTGGCCAGTCTTTCGTTGCTGCGTTGTATTTTTATAGGCCAGTAAGTTTTTAAACTCTTGAAGGAATAAAGATTTTTCTCCTGCTTTCTTCTTTTTCTTGCTCAAAACTTGACCTCTTGGCTTGTTCCTTCTAAACAGACACTTCAGTAACGTTACATTTGCCACCCAAATATAACTTTGGAATCATAAGAAAAAACTAAAGTTAGACTGGCTGATAAAGACATAATGTTTACATTGATACACATGAGTTCCTTACACTTTATTTTCATGATTATCTTAAATTGTCATATAGATAGATTTTTCCCAAAAAGTAGTTATTAATTTTTCACTTAAAAAAAATAAAAGCTAGGGGCTGGGGATTTAGCTCAGCAGTACAAGCACCTGCCTGGCAAGTGCGAGGTTGTGAGTTCAATCCCAGGTACAAAAAAAAAAAAAAAAAAAGAAAAGAAAAGCTAGTAATTTTTTAAAAGATAGAAGAATATATATTACTTTTCCAGTTTATAATACCACCTCTGGCTAAAAAATACTTTGGTCCCACACGATAATTTTTGTCTAAGTTGGTGTTCAGTTGCCATTGGAAAACAGACCCCAAGTGGATTCTTGAACTCTGTTATGACTTCATCTACAAATATCTTGCTCTCCCCCCTTCTCCCTTAAATTAAACTCATAACTTCACAGTCAAGTAAAGATCTGTTTTTATTATGACATTCTTGTCCCACTATGTGATGCAGTGTCTTCGGAACTGCAACCACCCAAAGCCATCTTTTGCAGTGCACAGAGTCAAGTGCAAAGAAAGTGAAGGCCTTTAAGTGAGCGTCCCGGTCTCCCCAAAACTCCTATGCTGACATCTAGTCTGCAGTGAGACAGTGTTTGGAGGTAGGCCCTTTAAGAGACAGTGAGGTCAACAGCATGGGACCCCAGTGAAAGGGGTTAGTGTCCTTATCAGAGACCCCAGAGAACTCTGTCCCTCCCTGTTCCATGGAAGGCAACCACAAAAGCAACTGGCATCTACCAGCAGGAAGTCCTCACCACACACTGCATCTGCCAGAGCCTTGATGTCGGCCTCCCTGCGTAGAACCGAGAGAAATAAATCTGTGTGGCCTCCGACACTGTGCTGTGGCCGCCCAGATGGACTGGGGCACCCAGAGAGGCCCAGAGCTTCCTGGGTGTTTCCTCCTCCGCTCACAGTCACACCTTGACCCTCTACATCTTAGCTAAAGTTCCAGTAAGAGAAAGCCAGGCAGTGAAGAGAAGAAAATACATTATCAGGTGCTTGAAGAAGAGCTGATCTAGACTGCTGAGCCCAGATCTTGTAGGGTAAAGGAGCCCTGGATGGACTTGCGTAAAGGAGATCAGTGTATCTCATCTTCCATCCCCAGGACCTGGAAACTTAAGAGAAATCACAAGCAATGAAATCCCGAAAGAGAACACAGTGTGGGTCTGGCTTCCTGAAGCTGCCGCTCCCAAGCAGCCTTTGTCCCAGGGGTGGTAGCTCGGAGAACATGGAGGGCTGGGAGCTGCCTTCAGGGGCCAGCCCTGTCCTCGGCAGCTGGCTTCTCTAAATGATGCAAACCAGCAAACACAAGTGAGCAAAAATTCAGCTAAGCCGTCTTCAACTGGTGGGCCAGGAGGTGATCTCGAGTTAGCACTGACTGACTGATTCTAGGTGCCATCAGAAGACCACATCACCATTCCCCAAAGTTTGTGTTCTGTCACCAGTAACGACGGGACCCTCAAATACCAAGATGGAGCCTGAAGCTTTTCTTAACCCACAGAAAATTACTTGTATGTTTCTTTAAGTAAGTTCTTCATGTATCAAATTTAGTTTCACTAGGAAAATAAGATACTTCCCTTATTACCAAAACTAATTCCCTCTATCCCCCCAATATTAAGGATAGTTGATGATCCAGTAAGATGCCACTTCTATTTGACCTGTTCTTTGGTGGCCCCGGTATGCCCTGCAGTGCAGACACATCCAAGCATGTTTAGCTCATGTATATGTGAAAACCCCACAGTGAGACACCATAGCCCATGTAGTTAATATGCACTAATAAAATGTATTTTGGGAAAGAAACACAAGTTCTGCAGAATCGGGGTGTCTCCCTTCCACACCATTACTGAAGATTAGCAACTAAAATGTTCGGGTTTGTTTTTTCTCATATGCAATCAGCCGGTCATTTGTATGTCTCACAAAATATTGAGGAAGAATTAAAGATTACAGGGCATCTGAATCGCAGACGCAAGCAGGAGCGCCAGATATTTCTCCCAACTGCTGCTCAGTGCGGACGTTACACGAACATTACCAAATGCCTCCCAGTCAGTTTCGACATGTCATTAGCTAAGGTCTTCTATTTACGCATAAAATTATATTGCAAAAATTAGCCCTGCTGCTTGGAAAAACAACTGCAAGGAAAAAAACAACAACAACAACAACAACAAGATGAGCCAGAATCAAAATAAAGCAGGAAAAACACCGTGGACTTCTGTCCAAGAGATGCAGGCACCAACTCAAAAGGCTCCTGAGGTCAAAATGGGAAATGTTTTAGCAAATAAGCAAAGTACTACCTGTGTGTCACCTACAATATGAAATATATACCTAAAAGTTCTTACTAATAAATAAATGATTGAATAGCTAGATGGAGAGATAAATCTCCTTGCATAATCATCCCAAATAATTCATGCAGGTACAGAGTTTAATGTATGTTGAGCTTAACTGTGGGCTGCTGGTAGTGACTTCTTCCCAAGGGCACATCAAAGCAAAGGAGGAAAGGGGGGAAATAACCTTACAGTGAAGAAAGCCGACAAATACTGCCTCAGCCAGTGACCAAGGCCAGCACCACCAGTATAAATCACGTGGGTCGTGCAGACCCTTGACGTGTCGTGATAAGAGTGACATTTTTTTCTCCCTAAAACCCATAATCCCAGATAACAAAGAGAAAAATATCAAAGTCAAATAGAGGCACAGCATGTAAAATATTTAACCAGTACTCCACAGAAATATCAAAGCCACAGAAGCCAAGGAAAGTCTGAGAAATGGTCTCTCAGTAAGAGGAGTCTAAAGAGACCGGGTAACTAACTACGTATGGCGTTCTGGGTTGGATCTTAGCAGACAAGCACATTAGGTAAATACGAAAGAAATCTGAATAAAATGTGGACTTTGGTTAATAATAATGGATGGATGTCAATTTATTAAGGATAGCTAATGTACCATACCAATGTAAGATGTTAGGGAGACCAAGCATGAGACGTAGAGTTCTATACTAGTTTCTCAATTTTTCTATGAATCTAGAACCATAAGGAAAGTAAACAGCTGTGTAAAGAAATTAGCACTAAAAGCAGAAAAGGTAATAAAGTCTCAAGTCAGTTCATTAATGTTATTCAAGGAGTAACCAAAGCCATTCTTTAATCAAATAGCAGCTACAATAATGGGCACATGTTGGGTGGAAATGTAGCTCAATGCCTGAGTGCTCACCTAGCATGCACAAGGCCCTGGCCCAATGCCCGACACAGCCAAACAAAGCAAAGGAGCACCGAGAACCGTGTAAAGGTGACCAGTGGGAAGGACGTTTGTTTTATAGGGGAGCCGTGATTCCATCCTGAGTAATACTGTATTATGGGTAGTAATTCTAATATGTTTTAATAAAAGCATGTGGCTTTTTAAAAAGTAGTCACAGGTAACCAAAAGGTACCTTAGTGACAGGGTCTTTCTAATGAAATAAAGGAAGATCAGAGACTTAGAAACCAGAGAACAGAGTGCCATGCCTAGAAAGCCTCTGGATAGTTAACTTGTTCTAGGAATGGGTGTGCAAAAATCTAAGGAAACTATTTCACACAATGCAGTCACCTAGCTTCATTCGCACGGTGGATGACGTCAGATATCTGCCTCGTTTAATTCTTCAAGTGATGCCTCCATTTATCTGCTATTCTCAAGACGTACTTATTGGGGACTTTGGGTCATCCTTACAGGCATCTAATATAATGTTATGTGGTCTTTGTTATCTAATCCTCCTCCTTTGCTGGCTAGACCTCCGGCTGTTATAGTCTTACATTCTTCGTGTTGCTAGATTCTTGGCCGATTCCTGTCCCATTTTGCTGCACCAAGTTAGCTGTGTGCTCAGAAAGCAGACAGAGAAGCCTTCCCAATGTGCTTACTCCATAACACACGGGCCGCGAGGGTTGAGGGTGATGTGAGGCAGTGGCCTTCCCCACCCAGATGTCCTGTGGCCCTAAAAGTCAGTTCTCACTTATCTTAAAAAAAAAAATAGTTAACAGCTCTAGAGGCATGGCCCCCGTGCTCCACTCCTTAACCTTCCATGAGGTTAAAAGAAATTTTAGCAATAGTAATTGGCAGTTAGCTCCTCTTGATTATCATACAAAAAGAGATACACATTACAATACACATGACAAGAGGGGTAATCTCAGAATAAACAGCTGCCCTCTCCGTAAAGGCATCTTGATTCACATACTTGGGGTCAATTTTGCTATAGGCAGCTCGACGGTTTTGAGCAAAGCTGGAAACGCCGAGACGGGACCCAGAAAGTGCCCATAATACAAGGCCGGGTGGCACCAGCCTGATAACCAACATGACCTGGGCACATCTCACCTAACCCCAAAGAGTCCCGCTGCGGTGTTCAAATGTGGCTGATCTCGATGAGGCCTTACTGTCCCCTCCTGGGTGGTCACAGTGGTTCTGGACAGGCAGGAAAGTCCTCGGCCACTCTCAGACCCAGCTTTCTCTCCACGGGGCCATTTGCCTCCCAAATATTTGACAACATGGGCCACTTCCTGTCCTGATGGCAGAGCCGGGAGCTCCTCCCTCACCTTGACACTGCAGAACAGGAAGTGGCCTGGGCAGCTTCATCCAAGAACCAGAGAGAAATTCTGGTCTTAGGTTTTCTGTGCCCTGTGCTAAGATCCCAAGGTGTAGTTCGTCAAAGCTTGGCCTTGTCCACTAGTGTGGTTAGAACAAAAAGGCTGGACCTCAGCAGGCAGAGGGGAGCATGGAGCATTCTCTGCATTGCTGCTAGGAATGTAATTTGATATAATCATTCAGGAAAAAAAAAAACTATTACACAGCATGGACTAAACCCAAACACACTGGCATAAGAGGGGAGGTAGAAAAATACAGGGAATGTTTCAATTTTAAAACATTGATTACAATGTGGAAGACATATTGCCATCCATCCCCCGCAAAATCCACGCTAAGTTGTTCCTGCCACTTGATGAAGCAGTTCCAGAAGTCTAATTGCGTGAGGGTCTCTGTATGGCGTGACGCTTTCACTAGGTGGCACAGGATGGCACTTGGCAGGGGTGTTCACCCTGGTTTTGATCACATGATCCTTAGTACTTGGGGAGTGCTCAGGAGATCCTATTTCCTTTCCTTACTCTGTGTGTGGACTGGCCTCACAGGTCCTGTGTATTGCCTTTCAGAGGCCACTAGATCTCTGTCCTATTTTTTGTTTGTTTGTTTTGTTTTAGTTTTGGTACCAGGGATTGAACTCACGACTTCACGTTTGCCAAACAGGCACTTATGCCACTGAGCTAAACCCTTGGCCTCCTCTGTCCTATTTTTAAAGATTGGGGACTGATCTTCTGTGTGCCAAAAAGTAATCTAGCCTTTTCTAGATCAAATGACCAAAGCCTTTATTCCTTTGGAAACTTCTAGAAGCAATTTGCTCACCCACTCATTCACTCATCCAATCATCCATCTATCCATCATTCTTCCATCCATCCCTCTGTGTGCCCATATGTCCATCTGTTCTTGCACCCATCCACTTATCCATCCGTTCATCTGTCCATGCATGCATGCATGCATCCACCCCATCAATGCATCCAGTTGCTACTTTTTGCCAGGAACCCTGGTAAGTGCTGGGGAATCACTGCCAGGTAGAGCAGTCCTGGCACCCACCTTCGGGACTTCCTCTGGGGCATTAATCTCACAGAGATGACAGGCAGTAAATACATGAATCCATGATGACTCATTGTGATTTTTTGAAGTGCTACGAAGCAGAGGGCTGCAGCAGTGGACAGAAAAAACTTCTCCGTGATCCTACCACGTAAGAGGAGGGCTGAAGACAGCCGAGCAGCGGGGCAGGAGGACCCGAGGCACACTCTGCCGCGTCCTGCCCTTGCAGCCCCGTCCGGTCCCAGGAACTGCAGCGTAACGTGAGGGAGCAGTGGCTGCCAATGAGCCCCTTCTCGGGTGTGGACGTGTGACATCCATCCTGCTCCCAAGTATCTTTGCCCAGGCCTGTCGCTTATGGTTAGACGGCCAGGGTGGTCACACACGGCAGGACACGGCGGAAGCTGGAAGCAGGGAGAGGTACCATATCCCTCGGTGCAGTGTGGGGTCAGGAAAGGACAGGAGACTCAGCCTGTGAGTTCAAACTCTGCCCCTGCTTGCTGGCTCGATGGCCCGAGGCAGACCACTCCGAGCCTGACTTCCTCATCTGAGAAAGGGAATAATGACGTTTACCCCAAAGCTGTGCTGAAATGACACATTCATAGCACCCTGCATGAAAAATCACGGCCAGTTTTATTTAGAACATTCTCATTTCGCTGTAAAAACATTGTTTTTTTGTACTCTTATTTACTCAGTCTCACTATGGAAACGCCAGCTGCTTTTTTTAGTACCAAGGACTGAACCCACTAGCACAGAGCCATTCTGCAACTCCACTACATCTGCAGTCTCTCCCCCTTTTATTAAATTTTTGAGACAGGGTCTCATTAAGTTTCCCTTAAGCTTGGGATCCTCTTGCCTCAGACTCCCTAGTGTAAATGAGGATTTGTGAAAACAGGTACATCCCTTTTTTCTTAACATTCTCTAACTTTGGCTACTAGCTTACAATTCTTAGTTCTGTCCTAAACAGTATTACTCCAGGTGTCAATCATTCTTGGTTTTCCTAAATCTTCATCTAAAACCTTCTCAGGCACTCCCACAGAGGAGTGTGAGTGACTCGGACATTTGGAGATGGGAGCACTAAGCTTCAGAGTGATCTCCAGGCTGCTTCTGATGTCACACACAGTACGGGTTAGACAGTCAGGCTCAGCGTGGCTACCGTCTCGATGTTAAGCCCTCCCAACAAACTATCCTTCCTTTCTACTCCATTGCCTATGACCAGCATGGGTGGAGGGGAAGGGGAAGAGACGGGGTCAGTCACTTGCTCTCTGTCTAGCCCTTGGGGTTACCCCCAAATGTCCATTATCTTCAGCTCCAGCCTGAGCCCTTTACAGTCCCCTTCCCATCTGTAAAACGGTTTGGTACCAGCTCCTCAGGATCGGTGAGGAGCAGATAAAACCCTGCATCAAAGCTTACAGTCACTAAATGGTGCTCTGAGTACCAACATCTCCTGCCCCCCCCCCTTTGACAGGCACAGCTGGCCTAGAAGCCTGTAGACCTGCTTGGGACCGAGCTACCCAGAGGGGATTTTTCTAGGTCAATGAGTAATGGAAACTGTCTCCAACGTGCTGCCTATTTTTACTTTGAGACAATTTTCAGACGCAGGCTCACTACCCATGAGAACTCAGCGGCTGGGAAATTAAGAGATAATTAAATGCTAAACAAGACTAGACTCTTCTGACAATTTGTATAACTTCAGGGGAGAATTAAATGCACCGCTGGTCTAGTTAAACTAACGAGGCTCACTAGAGTAATGGGAACTGATCAAATCTCTATTTTTGCAATTTCCTGTTCTGAGCAGGAAGCCAAAAGACAAACACCATGGGTGACAGACAGGAAGAAATAGACAAATGATTTTATGCCTGTCCAGCTTCTCTCAAGACTGTAAGATAACCATCTGTAGAGTTCAAGGCAGGCTCCTGTTTAAAGAGATGCGCCCAAGGCAGGCCTGCTAGGATGGGCTTCCATTGGCCGTTCCACGTCTCTGTCTCTGCATTTCTCCACCAGGTCCCAGGGTGTGGCGGCTAGGTATGCTTTTCCGTTGACTTGGATTGCGTGCAAGCCTTTCTGATGAGAAGCGAACTGCAGAAATGTTAGACCAGAGCCAGGGACCCCAAGCCTCAAATCCAACTATCAAAGAACATGTGACAGAAAAAAGCAGAGGGCTGTTTCCCTCGTGTATTTTCTCTAAATTATTTCAAGACGCCACTTCAAAGCAATCTTTATCTGCGGCAGTATTTCAGTTGTAGATGAAGATGCTTTTCTGGTCAAAACTAATTTAGGTCCCTCGCCATTGGACTTAGCATGAAACGGAAAGGTCTGAAGGGTGTGAGCTGCCCGCCCGCTTTCCACCTTTGATGTCCACAGGAAAGTGGCTGGAATACAGAAGACAAGCTTTCAAATCTGCTTTACAAAACTGGCAGACTCATGCCAGGACCGAGCAGCTCACACAGAAAAGCATATTTTATATATCACATTAAATAATAACAACCACCACAAAAAATACCTAATAGGAACCAGTTCCCAAAGCCTTTCTGGGTAATTTGGTACATTTGAAATTGAATATGGTTTTCATGCCTCTCCTAAGCACTGTATAAAACGAGATACTCTCAAACACGTTGGAACATTTCTGTTTTGATTGGCTCTGGGAGGCTGGAAGTATTTGCTGTGATTTATAATTCACCAGTTACCCTCCTCAGAGCCACTTGCTTGGTTTACAGAAATCACATAACTGGGAAATAACACAATAAAAATCTTACACTCCATTGGCTGAAAGTTGGATCACAATGCCAAAGTCTAGGTAATCCTTTCTAGCAGGAGAAGAATGCCAAAATGTTCTTTTTTTCCCGATCTTTCAAAATGTTAAATTTTTTTTTTAAAAAAAATTCATTTAAGTAGTTGTCTGCAAAAGGCTATGCATTTTTTTTCTCTTAATGATGATGGCTTCTATTTATTTTTATGGAAGGTTGGCAAGGCTGATTGATGCACAAGGGGTCAAGACCTACAACTGCAGAAATTGACCAAGAAACCAGTTTTTCAGAGAAGGTGCAATCATTCATTGCAAGCAAGTGAGCACCTCTGGAGTACTAAAGCTGACAGAAATGTATTTTCAGGATATTGAGGAGCTCATAGCAAGGAGCACAGGCTGGAGAGCCAGGGTCAGGACAAGGTAACCCGGAACAACGTCCAGAGGCCCATCTGTGATGAGTAGGTGAGAGACGCAGGATTCTGGCTGCACCTGGACCGAGGACACCACCAGTGGGGGACCCAGACTTCCGGGCCTGGCTTCCTGCCCCTCCCTGCTGGCCCAGCCTCAGATGCTCTGCACTCAAAGAATAGCATATGCACCAATGGGTGAGGCTGCTGAGCATATGCACCATTGGGTGAGGCTGGCCCCTAGCTCACCGCACCTGCCCTGGCAGCCGTGGGAAAGGGGCCAAGCTAGGGACTCCTTCCCTGCTTTCACTGTTTACTGCAGAGGGGGAGGAATTCTCTAAACCCCTGAGGGGTTAAGATCCAGGAGATTATCCCATGACAAATGTCCTGGTTCTGAAACAACAACCTGATTACTCGGATTAAAACAGAAGTTATCATTTCCATTCTCAGTTCCTATGTTCAACAATTATTAAGAGCTGGGGGCACTGTACTTTGGGAGCTGAGGCAGGAGGATCACAAGCTGGGGCCCAGACTGAGCAGCTTAGTCATTTAGCAAGACCTTGTCTCATAATAAAAAGCAAAAACAAGAACAGTAAAACAAAACAAAACATGCATAAAATAGAGGGCTGGGCCGGTAGCTCAGGCCAGAGGCCCCAGGGTCTATTCCTAGTACTGCAAAAAACAAAACCAGACAAAACAAAACAAAACATTTATTAAGGACCACCAAGAGTTTTGGTTTATAAAGATTATATCCATCAATATTTACTATGTCAGAAATTGAAAGTGAAGATAGCATAGTTATTAATTCATCTAAAATAATTATATATTGGCATATATCAATAACATCTTACAAAAACCAGCTATGTTATCCAAAGCAAACATAGTGATAAGGGAAACTATTTGTTTTTTGTTTTGTTTTGTTTTGTTTTTGGTCTTTTTTTGAGTCAGGGCCTCTGCATGCAGTTCAGGCTGGCCTTGAGCTCACTTTGTAGCCTAGGCTGGTCTCGAACTCGCAACGATCCTCCTGCCTCAGCCTCCCGAGTGCTGGGATTACAGGCGTGAGCCACCATGCCCGGCAAGAGCAACTATTTGTAATCGCTTTAATTTCTGCTTTAAAAGAAGGCAGTGGACTTGTATGTCAGCTTTTATGTAATCTGTTAACATTGTAGATAGTTTGCTGAGATATCACACATCCTACCATCTCTGAAAAACTTTATCATACATTCCAAAAATAAGCCTGAAAAGATAAACATCATTTTAATATTATTATGAAAATAATTTTCACCTCAGAAGCTCCCTGAAAGGGAGTTGGGGGAGCCTTTTCAAAGTTCGAGGGCGCTGAGATGGAGGATGCGCCTCGCGGTTGAACTGCGGTGAGGTATATTCCGTGGAGAATTCGTTCCTCCGCTCTCTTCCGGCTTCCTCTCCAGACAGTTTTGCTTAGAGGTTGACAAGATTGAGCCTGCATCAAATTACTAAGACAATTCTGTTTTTAATAGACAGCAAAATTAAAAGCAGGACCACATTTTGTTTATTTCACTGAGCTTTGTTTTTCCCTTTGATCTCAGAAGTAACGTCCAGCTCTAATTCCTAATTCTACAATTCTCTATATTTGGATCTTTTAAGCATGGCAGACAGATTCATTTTCTTAATAAAAAGACTTGCATTTTAAATGGTTTTAGATTTACAGAGTTGTTATAGAGTTATATTACAGAGAGATTCTGCATAAGCCAGGACAGTTTCCCTGATTATTATTATGTATTAGGAGGGTACATTTATCACATATGAGAGGACCATATTAACACCTTATTGAATTAGACCCCCCCCAAATAAAAGTCAGTCAAAAAATAGGCAATTGAAGTGAATAGGCACTTTTTAGAAGAAGTACAAAGGAACAATAAAAATATGAAAAATGTGTAGCATCTCTGGCCACTAGAGAAATGGATTTCATCTTACTCTGTAAAGAACGGTTCTCAGCAAGGAATCAAACAAAGTAAGAAATGCTGGTGAGGCTGCTGGGTGCAGGGGGGATCCTTGGACCCTTTTACATTGTTGTTAGAAATGTAAATTACAATCGCTGTGGAAATCACTATGGAGATTCCTCAAAAACTAAAACTAGAAATGCTATTTGACTTAGCTATTTCCTTTCTAGGCGTCTTCCCAAAGGAGGTGAAGGCATCTTATAGTGACTTGCATACCCATGTTTATGCCAGCACAAATCAAAATAGCTAAATCTTGGAAGCAGATCACATGTCCATCAACACAGGATTGACATGGAATATGTGATATTTATACACAATGGAGCTATGCTCCGTTATAAATGAGGACATATGAGTCATTTATAGGAAAATGGATGTATTTTTGAGACCATATTATTACATAAAATTAATAAACATACAAGTTTAAATATCATATAGTTTCTCTTATATAAGAAACCCAAAATATAAATAAATTGAAGAATAAAGAAAATAAAAGACAGACGATAGGAAACAGGAGTGGATTTTTTGAAAATGGGAAGGGGAAGAAGAAATTAAGGTGTATATGTGTACCAACTCTCCACGACGGACGTGATCGTTATGTACCGCTCACACGGGCTATTAAAAATTCTAACTAAAGCATGTAGTCTATTTCGTTGGTTGTTTTCTAACACTGCTTTTCTCTCCCAGGTCCCATCCAGAATGTCCTGTTACATTTAGTCTTCAGATCTTTCTAGACGGCTTGACTGGGGCCATTTCTCAGACTTGCCTTTTTTCTGCTGACCTTGACGGTGTTGGGGATAAGAGACCAGGTATTTTCTAGAATGACTTTCCAGTGGGACTCGTCTGGCATTGTTCTTGTGGTTGGAACAGGGCTGTGGATTTGGGGGAGGAAAACAGAGGGGCGCAGTATCAATCTCACCGAACAAGGTTGAGGGTGCATAGGACTGATGTGACTTTTGTGGATCGTCTGGCTTAAAGTTGGTCTGCCAGGCTTCTACACTTTCCACTCCTCCCGTTCCATTCTCTAGGCTGTGGAAGGACGTCATCATGGGCAGCCCACACTCAGTGTGACCCGCTGCCCCATGCATCTGGAGGTGGGATATTTACCTGGTGGACTCGTAATTCCCCTATATGGAAGATCTGTTTATTCTTTGCCACTTTTTAATTCAGTGATTCACTTATATCAGTAAGAACTCATGGACTGTTCCCTTATATTTTGGGTTATAATTCAGCACTGCTTTATTTACTATATTGCTCCAATTGTTCTGGTTTTGGTCATCGGGAGTTCTTCCACCTGGCTCCTGGGCGTTCTGGCATAATCTGCCACGGTGTGTAGTATTTGTGGGTTTGCATATCCTTTTCTGAGGAGCTATCAGATTGCCCAGGTCCCATCTGTGTGTAGGGTCTCTATCCCTGGGGTTGGAGTCAGCCACTTCCCCAAGAATGCTTGTTCCATCCTTAGAGAGTTAGAAACAAGACCAGATTTGCTTATTGCTTTACAGGGACCCCCAGTAGGGACCCCCAGCTGACAGAGCAAGGGCAGTTACGTGGACATCCCCCCACCTAGCTATCCAGGTCAACAAATATCCACACGTGGAACCATCTGAACTATACTGAGCTCAGCGTTAGTTCATCCTGACGTTGCTGACGCTAATCCACTGATACTCCCAACAGCCTAAACTCCTCCCTTTGCATTTGTGATGCAAAAAGTCGTTGTAATGAAAAAGCAATTTGGTAGATGCAGGTTTGAGAGGAAACGCAGTGATGAAAATAAGACTCCAGGACTAGAGTGATCAATTGACCAACTGGATTGACTTACGCTGCTGGGGATGGAACCCTGGACATCACACGCACTAGCTAGATGCTTTACCACTGAGCTGGGTCCAGTACCGAGGTGAGTCAAACCCCTAGGTCCCGTGCTCCTTTGTGAGGCGCTCTGGTGACAGGCTGTCCACAGGGAAAGAAAGGCTGTGCAGCAGAGGGTGGCTTGAAGTGTGGCTGTCCAAGTGACAGCTCGGGCTACTGTGAGGCCTTCACAATTTCTGAAGGAGGAAAATACAGCACCTTACAGTAGAAGAGCGTGTGGGGATTACACATGCGTTACCCCAGCAGCCCACTGCAGCAGCACATCGAGGACAGAGGCAGGCTCATTATGGGTACACTGTTCCAACGTATACTCCGTGGGAAGTCTGTTATTATCCCCACTTTACAGACCTGCAAACAGAGGCACAGTGATTTTTCTAACCTGCCCAAGCTCTCACAGCTTGTAAATGACGGGGCTGCTTGCTCATAAACCTGACCTTTAAAGGATTCCTGCGCATCCCCAAACTTAATTCCCCTCCTGTAAAACAAAGCTGTGAAATGCTCCCTGTGTGTGAGGCTAACAACAAAAAGTCTGAAAGAGGCTTTGGACCACTGTGGATGGCAGAGACACTGTGATGGCCAGTAACCGCCACTTCTCACATGAGCAACTGTTCGATGTGATTGTGGAGTTGGGTGACCCCCGCCTACCCCCCACCCCCACATGCTGGTGCTGTTCCCTGAAGCCTGGGGAGGCAAAGATCCCCCTGGTGAGTGAGTTGGCAGGGGTTAAATGTTGGCTCTGGCATATCCATCCCTGCCATTGCCTGAAGTAAGAAGACTCACCCAGTGAAAGGTTCCTGGAAGCTTAACCATTTCTCCCCTGCCCCTTCCGTCTGTTCGTGTTCCCAGGTCGTGATTCACAGTATGTGCAGCTGGGAGACGGAGTTTCCTAGGAAAGTGAAAAGGAGGCGCTTGGTTGGGGAGCAGCCCTGGGCGTAATCTCAACGCCTCGCAGTGACAATGTTATACCCTAACTGCGTGGCTTTGCTCTAGTCCACATTTGATTCTCCGAGATCTCAGTGGCTGGTTTCATTACCCCACAGAGGCCCCTGAGAGTCACTGCTGACCTTAGAGCTTCATTTGGAACCTAGGTCTCCCTAGCCCTGTTCCTTCCCAGGAGTGCTGCATCCCAGGATCTTCTGAAGTTATCAGCTGAATATGTACCTAGAGCCTGCCAGGGCCCCAGAGGACAAAGTCCTGGGCCAGAGGGGTGACAGCCTTCCCCACAGGGGGCCTGCAGAACATCCTCCCTAGTGTGCCTTCCCACATCTCAGTCTCATGGAGCTGATCTCCCTGTGTCCCCAACTTGCAGATGAGAAAAGTCAGGATTTCCCAAAGTCATACTAGAAGGGGGGCAGAACTGGGTTGCAAACCCAGGACTGTTCTAGGTCACACACTGCCCCCCACATGCATCCTGTTCTCTCACCACCTCGCTGAGGCAGGAACTCGAGGTTCAGTGGGTTTGTGGCTGTGGCACAGTGCTGTTTGCTGCAGCTTCTGCTGGACACTTTGGCTTGCAAATGTGGAGGATTCTCTGAAGCACAGCCTTAAACAAATTGTGGCCCACTGCTGTTGGAGAGGACAGCAGCAGATGGGAAGGGTGGGCAGATGTTCTTGGGGTGGGTGGGGTTTCTGTGGAGCCAAGGGGCTCGCAGGAAAGGAAGCCACAAAAGGTAGAGGAAAGGCACCTGGGGATTTGACCACACGGACTCCAAACTGTGCTGGAGTCAGGACCTTCCTGTGGTGTGGTGTTATGCACTTTTCTCAGGTTCTGCAAATGCAGTTAGGGCATGAGCTTGCTTCCTCTTGTCCATATCTCAAGAGATTATTTAAATACATTTAAAAATTACATTTCCCTAAAGTATGCTTGATGTAGGAGGTGAGCTTGTCTTAGGGTTACAAATCAGTAGACATAAATTATCGTTTCGCCATCAGCAGCGACTGGCTGGGTGTGTGATCTTTGTTAAGTTTCTATCTTTTCTTCAAGTTCCCTCCTCTCTACAACAGGACCCCTGAAGGAGTGCTGGCCATCCAGAGGCTCTGACGCTATGCAAACCTTCTTTGTTTGCACCACTCCACAAACAGTCAGAGGTTTATACCCAACGCCAATGGTGCACTGCTAGCCTGTAGGCTACACTGTTTGGTACGATAGCTGCCAAACAGCCACGGCTATGCAACACTGGAAATGGGGCTTGTGTGACTGAATTTTATTTAAGATTAAGTAAGAAGCTGATACTATACCCAGTGATTGAAAACCCTGCATATGTTGGAAACAATTTGAGTATGTGAATCTGCTTTTTTGAACTCTAAGCACAAAGTATTTAAATGAAAACCTAGCATCTGCACTGGGAAGGGCAGCAAGTGTGAAATACCAGATTTAAAACAGTATCAGAAAGAAAGCAAAATACCTCAATAGCGTGCTCTGTATACAAAGATGAGAGTATTTTGGATATATTGAGTTCAGTCAAACACATCATTAAAAATCATTTCACCACTTTTTATTTTCAAAATATGGCCCCCAGAGTATTTTAAAGAACCACCATGTGTGACATTTCTCTTGGACGGCGTTGGAAGCTGGGTTTCCCACATTGTGGTGGGCTGCTGGGTTGGCACAGTGGCCCTCGCTGTCCATGGGTGTTTCACGGAAAAGAACTGTGTCACCCTTGGAGGAAGACACTTACTATCTGAGTCACTGCTCGCGTCAGGAAGGGTTTGCCCCAGTTACCTCGCTCACAGATTGTCTGATGACAACCCAGGGCTGGGAGGTGTCTAGACTGCAGCTCTCAGTGCTTCCCATGCTGGGATGTCCTAAAGGCACGCAGGTAAAGCCTCCCACCGTGGGCAGCAGCCCACCCACCTCCAGAGAGGTCTCGGTTCAGGACTGGCACCCCTGTAGGGTAGAGCTGAGCTGGGCCTCTGCACACACTGCGGACTCCCACACCCCCGCCACCTGCCTGCCTGGCTCCCTTCTGGTGGTCTCACAGTGCTGGTTCTTAGCTGTGCACAGGTAGTGGTGCTTGTTTGACTCTTTCCGGGTAGATTGAACCATAGGATCGTAACGTGAAAAAGGACAGCTGGGCTGTCTTCCTGAGGAGGTGGCATCAACAGGCAGGCTTTTGAGTGTGAAGCCTTAGTCCTGCATAAAATTCCACCCTCCTGTAAGGGGCCGTCATGTAATCAGGGAGAGTTACCTTGGGGTCAACATGCAGAGGCTGGCCTGGTGGGGCGAAGGGTCAAGCCGTGGTGGTGACAGTGGCCTGATCATACATAGCCAAGGTAGAGGCTCACGTGAGTGGCCAGGAGGCACCACCATCCTCAGCCTCAGGCAACTTACCTGTGGTGCCTGGTGAGGGCCACTGTTATGAAACTGCAGGGCTTAAAAACAAACAAACAAACAAACAGATCCTATCAGCCTGGGCCACTTTACCAACATAAATTTAGCTTCTCCGAGCTCTGGAGACCGGACATCTGTAGGTCAAGGTGTTGGGTCTAGTTTCTTCTGAGACAGCTTGGCTCGGCCCACCAAGAGTGGCCCTTGCACCCTGCTCTCACGGGGCCACCTCTTGGGTGTCTGTGTTCCAAACTCTTCTTCTTTCAAGGGCACCGGCCATCTGGGAGTCATATGGCCTTGTCTTTAGTTGCCTCTTTAAAGGCTGCGTCTCCAAATGCAGTCCTGTTCGGAGGTAGCAGTGTTAGGACTTTGCTGTAGGAGGGGATGCACTTTGACCTGGAGCCACCCATGGTCGCACATGATCTGCGGCCACACCCCTGGTCAGATGCAGCTCGAAGAAATGAGCTTCATGCGCTGTGTGCTTGGGGCAATGACCACAGAACGACTCTGAGGCCACACGGGCACCTGGCACTGAAGGTGGTGAGAGCAGGACACTCCCTAGACAGGGCTTTGAAGGGTGCGGATAATGCGGCAGAGGGGAGGGGAGTGTTGAGTCTTGAACTCTCTTGGAAGGCCGCGGGCACCACAGTCTCAGCCTTAAAACCTGGAATTCCTTGTTAATTGAGCCACTGTGGCAGAGACCTGCGGTGACAGGTTTTTGCGTGCTGTGTTAGAAAAGCAAGAGAAAAGAAAGGAAAAAAGAAAAAGGCTTTTATCGCAGGCACGGGCTAAATCCTCAAGGGACAGACAAGCCTCCAGCTTTTATTCAGCCTGAAGCGGGTGGTGTTTGGAGGGGCGGGCCAAGCGACACATGGACAGTTGATTGGGGGAATGTCTGTGCACACGTGAAAAGCAAGGTGCTTGATCTTCAGGTCTGGAAGAAGAACGCCGATGTTGGAGTTGAAGGTGTCTCTTGTCCAGGGTGGAACCCATCGCAAAGCTAACTGGATGTTTCTCGGATTGCGTGCTTCGGCACAAGGGCTGAGGACCTAGCTAGAAACATAGGTTAAGTAGGAGCATAAACCCTGAGCCAGGAATAAACAGTCAGATTGGGGAGGCGAAGTAGAAATCAGCAAAGATTCTGATTTCTGGGAATGCGCCCCTTAAAGCTGAAAATCGATGAACAGCAGTACTGATGAGGATGGTAGTGAACATCGAGGCCAGCTATTCCCCTCCCAGGGATTTTTCCTAAAAGAGTTAAAGACATCACAGTACATATACGCGTGTTTATAGTAGCACAGTTCACCACAGCTAAATCTTGGGAGACGTCTGTAAGTCTATCAACAAATGAGGAGATGAAGAAAAAGTAGTATTTACACACAGTAGAGTATACTCTGCTGTAAAGAAGGATACATTTGAGTCATTTTTAGAAAGTGGATTTACCTGGAGAACATAATATTTAGTGAAATAATTGGACACACAAGGTTAAATATCATGTGGTTTTCTTACATAAGAAACTCGAAGTATAAATAAAGAATAAAATAAAAGAGATAATAGAAAACGGAGAGATCTTTTGCAAATGGAAAGGGGATCGAGAGAGGGGAGGAGGAGGGAGGAATGGGCTGGGAAGGGGACCTAGCTAAGAATGAAAATACGTTCTGCACATGCACCGATGCCCCCACAATGACTGCAAATATGTACTCATAAAAATAAAAAGTTAATAAAAAGACCCGGAGAAGGCTGGCTGGTTAGAGCAGAGAATCGGTTTTCAGTGGTGACAGGAAGAGAAAATCTGCCTGTGTCAGAGGGTTGGGTTGGTGACAGAAGGAAGAGGAGTGAGTGTAAAGGATCGCCAGGATCAGGAGACGGATCAGACGCTGCGATTCGGAGGTCCAGAGTTACACACACAGAGGCACACACACACACGCACACACACACCCCACAGAAACCACCCACAGTGTGCAGTCCTCCACCACCATTCAAGAGGTAGCCGGTGACCGGCCAGTGCCAAGTCCATGGTGTTGGTGACAGACAGGATAGGAACATCCTCCCTGGTTTGTAGACGCCTAAGTCACCTGAAAAGTCACCTGAAGTTTCAGCATGGAGCTTTTCATTGTTTCTGTCCTCACGTCAGGTTTCTTCAGTCTGTACCCATTATCACAGCAGAAAGTCAGCTTGTTGCTAGCAAGGCTCTCTGCCCCAGGAGGCTTGCGCTGGGCACGGGCAGCTCATGCTGCGTTAGGTGGCCTCGATGCTTCTGATCCGTATGTCTCGGGAGAAATACACTGTGGAGAAGCAACCCATGGCTTGATGGGAGCATGCTTGGCTTACTGTGCTATGACAAGGAAACCTCTTTAATACAGTGGCTGAGTGTTAAAGTCTTGCAAAAGAGTCCACTCCTAATGTCTTTTCCCAGTAGTCTTTATTTTCTTAAACAATAATTGAAAATGTACTCTGCAGCCAATCCTGGGTGATATATATGTATATGCAGTACATATAATCCAGGATCATCTGTCCTGTGTGATATACATGCCACATGAAATGGTGCTATCTGGCCCAGGCCTTTGGACTTTTCCCTTGTCTTTAAGACACGAGAGCGATACTGAGCAGGTTTGGTCTTCAACCTCAGCATCCTTGTCTCTCTCCCCATCTGCCTGCAGCCCAGCCTCAGGGGAGGCGACTCTCAGAATGGACTTCAGCATAAGCCTGAGGGACCAAGACAGGTCCCCGGAGCTTCTGCCCAGGAGCAACCAACTGTGCACTGGGGCAGGTGAGGGCACAGGGAATGTCTCCTCTAGGTACCAAAAGGTGGGTGCTGCGGGGAAGGCAGCTGGGAAGCTTTTTTTCCTCTCCCAGAAGGCCAAAGATTGGGCCCTGGATGGGTCAGTGCAGAGGAGAGGCCCAAGCACCTCCCGGGCCCCGCCCCCCGTCCCGCCCTGGCCCCGCCCCCCGTCCCGCCCTGGCCCCGCCCACCCGCGCGTCCCACTTGCCCCAGGCGGTCCTGAGCCGGACAAGCCAGCGCGGCTGGGCGGGGCGGTGGCGGCGGCCACACCCTCTCCTCGCAGGCCACGCCCCCAGCACGCGCCGCCCGCAGGCCATCCCGCCCCTCCCGCCACGTGACGGCCTCGCCCTCCTCACGCGCCGTGATTGGTTCTCCCGGGTAGGGGCGGGGCTTTGCCGGCTTCCTCGCCCCAGAACAGGCTGCAGTTTTTAAACCTCAACTGTAACTTAGCTCAAGTCCCCGCCGCCGCCGGGTCTCCCCGTCACTGCTGTGGCCCTGTCCGGAAGGGTCTCCGAGGGTCCGCGCAGCCCAGCGGAGGGGCCTCTGGGAGCCTGAGGGGGTCGGTGAGTGTCCGGCCGGGTCCGCGAGAGGTCGGGCTGGAGGGGAACTTCGGGGTGAAAGGTCGAGGGTGACAGGACTCGGGGTGAGGGGGACTTCGGGGTGAATGGGACCCGGAGTGAAGGGACTTCAGGGTGACGGATCCGGGCTGAGGTGGACTTGGGGGTGACGGGATCCGGGGTGACGGGATCTGGGATATGAGGGAACTTTGGGGAGACGGGACCTGATGTGAAAGGTCCGGCCCGCGTGGCCCTGGCGCCCTGCGCGGCCCTGGTGGACTCGGGGACGACTGGGGACGCGGGGCGCAGGCCAGGCCGCTCCTGTCTGCCCGCCGCCGCCCGCGCGTGGAGTGCAGAGCGCGTCCGTGGGCGCGGGACCGGGACGAGGCGAGGACGAGGGCGCCGTCTGCGTGGCTCCAAGCTGCGCGCTGCCCGAGCCGCCACAGCCGGGTGGAGCGCCTGGCCCGTGGGGCTGGGGCTGGGGCTGGGGCTGGAGGCGCCCGGACTTCAGCCCGCAAACGTGCATGAGCGGCTGGGCGGACTTCGCGTTCACACCGTGGTCCGGATCTGGGCTGAGCCTGGCGGGATGCTCAGGGTGGTGTGGCCCCTGTCACCTCCCGCGTTTGAGAGGGTTTGAAGGACAGCGCAGTCTCTGGGAACGACTGCTCCAGGAAGGTGGCAGCCTCTGCAGCCTGGCATTTTGAACCCAGGAACACAGTTTTGTGGCAGGAAAAGATCAAAAAAAGGCTCGAACTGTGCAGCAGGATGGCGAACTGGCCAGCAGTTTTTAGCAGTTTCTAAATGTTTGCTTTTTCTTTTAAAGCACGTACCATAAAATTGTGTATTTTTTTTTTTTAAACTAGCTCATGGAAACAGTGCCCTCTGGGCAGATGCTCAATTTTAAAATGTTGTCAAATGCATGAATCATTGGGGTTATTTATAGCTGCTTTATTATTAAATATGCAATACATTTTAGATCATTTTCCAAAATGTGGACCAATGATTCAAATAATATATATGTACTCAATTACGGCATGTTAAAAAAGTAAAGTTTTTGTAATCTGAGACCAGTTTTTGTGTGTGGATAGAATGATTGCATTTCCTTTTGGAATCACTGAATAGTGAATTACTGTTTGGTTTGGGTAGAATCAGATTTTAGGAAAGTAGAGAGACTTGACTATTGATCCCTGTTTCAATATATGAGTAAGACATTAGAAGGAAATTCAGGCATTTTATGACAGACATATCAAAATTTCTGTCCTCATTTAAGAGGAAGCCAGGAGTCAAATAGATCAACTACTAATTTATTTAGTAAACTCTTAAACTATCTTAAACTTTTTGGTACATATATTTTAGTAAGTTAATATAGATGGTATATTATAATATATATTTCCTTGTGTAAAAGTTGGCAGTTGAGAGGTATACTCTTAGCTCTTTTTTAAATTTTATTTTATTTTATTTTTATTTTTATTTTTTTGTGTGTGTGTGAGTTGTCCTGGTGATGGAACCCAGAGCCTAGGGCATTTAGGCAAGTGCTATGCCACAGAACCACATCCCTGTCCCTTGACTACTACTTTGAAAGGATTTTGATCGATTCTTGGTTTTTTAATGTGTTATTCTGCACTTTGTATATATATACTGTGTTAGAAATACTAACAGTCACTTGGAAAATTTTAAATGTATTCAGTTGCTTTGTCTTCTGTATGACAAAAGCCAGTGATTTTAAGTACTGTATATGTTGTGGTAGACTATTATCAAAGGAGAGCCTGTTGAACTGAGTAAAATGCACAGCAGGACAGGGCAGAGTGTTCTTATGAATTAAGTTGCAAGCACATATTTTTATCTAAATGTGTTGTAGTAAATGCTGCAATTTTCAAGACATACTTTGTTACATATTTTTGATTTATCTTTTTTCCCAAAACATTTAAACTCACTGAACTAGTTCATTTCTTTTAACATTTATATGCAGCATGTTTTGGTTCATCTCTTATCCTTTCCCAGTACTCCAAAAGAGGGCGTAGTTATGCTATAAGCATTGAGAACTTCTACCAGGGAGATGGTAGTTTCCTCTTTAATCCTGAAAGACTCGGGTTCCTTTTGCGCTGTAATAGTTCCTGAATAAACAGTCCTTCAGTGGTGCTGTTAGGTAAACAGTAATTTATTGTACACCAGAAACCTAATTTTCCACCTGATGAGTGGCAGACGCCATGTGTTTGTTGGCCCACTGTGTTTCCATTTTTCAACATCTTCTTACCCTGCTGCACAATTAGAGGATTTAATTCCCATTAACGCCTTTCTGAAGGTGGGAAGAGACAGTGTCAGGCCTTACCATCTTGGCAGTCAGGCCTGGGGACTTCAATGCTGGATAGTATGTGTTAGAAGGGTCGGATTAGAGTTAGCTTAGCTGGCTTCCTATTGTGATTTGGGGGGACTGAATTTTTGAACTATATGTTCAATAGTAATAAGCAGTTCAAACCAGGTTACATTTCCTGATTGAGGTTGTTCTTAAAACATTGATATTTTTAACCATAAAAACAGGTGTCACCCATTCTAGAAAGTCTGATAATTATAAAATAAGTTGTTGGCAATGTGGAATATAATAAAAATAATTTTATCTATGTTTCTGAGCTGTGTGGCCACCCTGTTTTGAACTGGATTCTCTAGTAGCAATTTAAATGTGTATTTAGCTAAATTCTGAGTGAAGCAGAGGCCGACTGCATTCCTGAGCGCTGGTCCTGTGATGTCAAGATGGATCCCAACTTCTGATGCCTTGAATGCAAGAGACACACCTAAACATTCACTTTGCTATATTTTATTATCCATGTAGTTCTGTTTATTGAACATATTTTGAATGCCTGCCAGGTTCCAGGCACCAGGCTTGTTGTTCAGACACAGAGTAAAAGTTTGCTGCCCTGTAGGTGCTCAACATAATGGCAGGCTGCCGTTTGACCTTTGATGTAGGCATGGCAAGGGGCTGCTTGCTATAAAGGAGGGGCCTTTACATCAGCTGTGGGCTTGGGGCAAGGCTTCCTGAGGAAGAGCATGTGTGGAGTTAGCCATCTGAGGATGCTGTAAGGTGTCTGAGGCTGAGAAGGGTAACGAGGATGTGGAGACAAATATGAGCTCATGGTGCGGCAGGAAACGAAACTGGTGCCCCAGCTTTGGTGGCCTTTATGTGTCATCCTTAAGAGTGTTAGCTTGTAGGCGCCAAGGAATCAAAGCAGACTACTTAGTTCATTACTGCATATTGTAAATTCTACTTTTGTAGCGCTCTTACTCGATGCACTTCAAATGGATGTCATGATGAATACTTTAACAGAGCTGTTTTGCGGGTTATGGGGACTGTTTGCCTTGCTCTGAGTCTCATCGTAGTTGCTTTCTTCATTTCAAGTAAGGCAAGGCCCACATCCAGCCTAACATTTCCTTCTGTTCTCACCTTCATTGATTTATGTCTGAAGTCTTATTGTAGTTATTATAATAGTAGTTAATGGAAAAATTGAAAAAAATTGTGAGACACCATTATTCTAGTAGTGCTGTGTAACTGAAAATTTAATTGCACCTTCTCTTACCCTTCTAGCACCCACTGTGTCTATAATTGTACACGAACACACAGATTTACTTATTAAGCCCTTAAAATATTTTTATTAATTATAGTTTGTTAAAATGTTATGAAATGGATTTCAAATGCAGTAACACACGCTGCCAAGTTAGACTGATTATAAGTCTGTGTACTGTGGTAGAAGACAAGAAAGGTTCTGGGAGTTGTTTATTGGATTTCAGAGACTGTAGTGGGGAATATAGAAGATATAAGGAGAGAGAGAAACAGACAGACACTGACTTCATGGATCTTATGTGAAGGCCTGCCGGATATTTGTGGAGAGTTTGGGGGAGAGAGGTAACTTTCATGCTGCACTACATGGGAAAGTGGCCAGAAGAGGAGAAACAGCCAAGTTCTAGGTTGCAATATCTGGTCCAAGTGCACTACAGAGAAGGCAGGTGACCTTAAAATATACCACAGAATAGTTAAAGCCGTTAGTGATGGAGGCGATCAGCTGTAAATAGGTGATCTTATGATTTGATTATCAGAAAGGTGTGCTTTTCCAAAGACATGGCTTGAGTTCCAGTGTATTCAGATCCAGAATGAAATTTATTACAGTCTCCAAAATGGCTTGTGGAGTAACAAGTGTTACTGTCCGGCATGGTTTCCAGCTGCATCTGTAGTCGTATGGTTGCCTGTGGTATAGTCGTCCATGGTAAGACCAGCAGTGGAGACAGATGCTACCAATGTGGTGAAAAACAGGAACAGCACAAGGGTTTGAGACTAGTAAGAAGCCAGACACTTAGACGGGGGCAGTCTCTGTGTGTTGCCAGGTAGTGCTGTGTGCTACCTTGGGACTTTGCCATCAAGAAGGCCATTACCAGACATGGTCCCGAGCCTTTCTCCTCTAGAATTATGAGCCAGAATAAGTATTTTCTCTTTACAAAATAGTCTGCCCCAAGAATTTCAATGTAGTGAAGAAAAACAGACTACTACAGTGGTGAAGTTTAAAAATTGAAGGTCTCATAGCTGGGATAGTGGATGAGTGGGATTTAGACCTTGCTGTTTCATAATTCTGCATTCCTGCCCTTAGACTCCTAGAGACATGCCCAGTGCTAATCAGATCTCCCCGCTCCAGAGGCAGGGACTTAGGGAAAACCATTTTACTGCCTTAGAGTAAAACCAAGAAAAGAACTGAAAACACTGAACTCCAGCATTGAGCGTTTGCTGAAGTAGAAGATGGTTGGCATTGAAATGCATTGAGGTACAGAACAATAGATGTCAAGCAGAAAATAATGGGGGGTGGCACAAGGGAGCACAGCCGAGGGTTATTACAGGTGGGTGCTGGAAGAACAGTGCTGAACTTCATCTTGCAGCATAGCAGCAAGCCTGGAGTCCTGTGTCTTGGAATGTGTAGTCCCCCATTGTCAGGATTCAGTCTATATGAAATAGCAGTTTGATGCGTATAAATAGCCCAGTGGTTTTGATAAATATGAACTAGAGGTGTAGATTAGAACTTGGTCTTGGTTTCTGTCAGTGACTCATCCAACAAAATGTTTACACTCTTAGCCATGGCCGGACAGAGGAGACAGTGGAAGACTAAGAGAGCTTCGGAGTGGTTTTGAAATCAAGCCTCCCATGCAACAGGTTATTATTTTTGTAGCCATTCAAATGTTGGTAATATAACTCATGATATTTGAAATCACCACTAAATTTGTTTGACCATACAAAATTAAAATAAAAAATGATGACACTGTGGTGTTAAATTACTAATCGTGTGAAAGGTGTGGAGAGAGTTTGAATTAAAAACCAATGATTGTATTATAATTTTATACCTATTTTTAAGAAGTGGGGAGGGTTTTTACAGTAGTTTTACTGTGAAATGAAGTCACAGCTTTACTGAGGTGCAGTGGAGGTGACACCTGTTCGTGTGTGTGCTTCTGGTTTTCCCTCCTGTGGGCAAAACATGCTCTTTAAATAATCTGCTTCTTTTTGGTTCTACCTTATTGCTATATTTGGAGATGTATAATGTAGCACACATCCTGTCAGAGATAACATCTTTTTTTTTCTTAATTATATTTAAGTTGCATCCTCTCTCGCCTTCGTTTTCCACAGGTAAAACAGGTGACTAGAAAAGCTGATCCTTGGAGTCATCGACATGGCACGGCGAAGATTTGATTGCCGAAGTATTTCAGGCATGCTAACGACAGCCCCTCAAACTCCAATCAAAATGGAAAACTTTAATAATTTCTATACACTTACATCTAAAGAGCTTGGGAGGTAAGGAAACGACGATGGTACGCTATGTTTAAACTCAAATTGTGGATTTCTATTTCTGTAATTCTAGCTGGAAACTCACTTTGGCCCATGAACAGTGATGTCTACCCCTAACACAGACAGAAATTGAATCTGTAGAGGGTTTAGTGAGTTTGTGTGAGACGCCCCACCGAGCCTGGAGTCCCGCCAGGTCTCAGTCCTCTTCTGCAGATGGGATGGGAGGAGGTCAGCATGTGGACTGCTGAGCCTGAATCTGGGCTCTGTCATTGACTAGGTGTGTGACCTCAATTAAATTACTGAAGCTCTTTGTGCCATGGGTAGCTCATCTTAAGAAGCAATGAAGGTAATTTTACCTGTTCCAGGGGTCAAATGTCTTAATACTTTTAAAGTGCTTGATACAGTGCTATAGAAGGTTTAATGAAACATATTTTAATTCCTAGGATGTTGTGCATGGTTAGGGGATCTCCTCCCATTTCTTTCCTAAATTAAACAAAATAGATAACTCATGTCTGGCAGTATAATTCTGTGTTACAAAAAAAATGGGCATTCTATAAGGCCAGTCTTCAGAAATTTTCCGTCGGCTTAACCAAGATATAATTTTCTTAAGTCCAAGGAATGACCTGATATCACAAGATCATTTAGTCCTGTAAGCCATAAAAGCCATACCAAATTTTTAACTTCAGTGTCTCCCAAGCTTTATATTAAAGGCAATTAACGGTTAGAAATGGTGGTCAGTTTACATCTGTAGCTTGCTCTTAGTTACCATGGAAGGTTTGCATTGGAAGGACTTTGATCTGGGTACAGTTTTGTGCAGGGCAGCCTTCACTCCTATAATTTCTGCCAATAAACTATTATCCAGTATCAATTTGCATACTTCATTGGCGGAGAACTCGCTCCCTGAGGAGCTGTCTGCTCTGTTTGTGATACCTTGTTAGCATAGAATGTCCTGTTTTCTGTTCTGCCAGTATCTACCCTGTAGACGTGGTTCTCCTTTTGTAGCTGCACATAACATGCATACATGTGGCGACTCTTCAGATACCTCAGATAGCTGAGCACTGACGGTTTCCTTCCATGCTTATCAGGCGATCGGATTTCCAGACGGCCTTCCTCAAAGCGGTTACCCTCTGCTGAGCCTTTGGTGTTTTCCTTGTTTCCTAGAATGGAGGCCTATACTTGGACACCTCATTGATATAATAAAGGCTACTTTAGTAAAGATGCCCAAGAAGTCGTTAGCAGTCAGCCTGCCTCTCCCCATTTCTCCATGCTTCTGTCTTCCTGTCCCTCCTCTCCCTCCCTCCCCTTCTTCTGTTTTTCCCCTAGTAATGTGGCATCTGTGTTGAGCAGCATCACATGATAGATTAGAAAAACAGCCTGAGCTGCAGGTAGGTGGCCCTCGCTTTGCTATGGATCTGGGGTCCTGGTGGGCTTAGCGGTGTGACTTCCGTCTTGCCTGCTGGGAAGGTGATCTAGATGGGTCCAGGTTTTCTTTTATTACAAACGTGCGGCAGTTACAACGAATAGGGAATTAGATAAACAAAGCTGTCAACAGCACACTGGATGCAAAACATTTTTCCAAGTTACTACTTTCATGGATAAGGGTACTAAATTTATTAAATTAAATTTACAAAACAAGAGATACCGTGGCAGCTATAAAGCCTATAGTTTTTTCTTTGAGAAAAACAGAAGTTAAACTTGGATGAGTATGACATCAATAATATAAAATTTTTTTATAAATGAGATGCCATCATGAATACTGGTTATTTGAATTAGTATGCTTTTTAACACTTTAGAGCAAAAACTTATGGTAGAAACTGATTAAAACAAATTCATTTTGCTAATATCCCACCACATGTCTTTGTGATCTGATTAGTGTCTGAATTGTGATGGGCTAACGGGTCAAACGCTAAATGCAGATGTGTTTAATTAGCAGCCTTTGATGCATAACTAATCATTACTTTGCATCTACCAAAAGCGTACTTAAAGTACTTCCAATAGTGTAACTAATCTTAAACATCCTGTGTTTTTGTACAGTGGAAATTGGGATTGTAATCTTGCTTTTCTCAAGGGCTGCATGTTTCGTTGTATACATGCATATCATTCTAGGGTGTAGGGAATGGCAGAGTTACCTTTCTAAGGCAAGTGATTTCTTAAAACTTGATTTTTAGATGTCAGTGTTAGGAATGTATTTTTCTTTATCAGTCCAAAGGAGAATACATAAAAGTTAAAATACACAAAAGTTAAGTTCACTTTTTCACTAGTCTAGAACCCCTTGCATTGTTCCTGTTTTTTACCACGTTGGGTAGATTTTCCGTCCCTCCCCCAAAGGAGGGTGGTTTCATAGGACTGTGGTCAGGCAGGCCAGGCAGATTCAGAAATAAACGTCAGCTTCCTCTGCAGCCGCCATCCCAGCCCCCACAGTGACTGTGTGCGCTAGAACGGAGCAGGTGACTGCTGGACCACTGGACCTGCACCACGAGGAAGCCCACTGGGCCTTGCCCTTAGGGTGCCACTTACCCATCGTTCTTGAGGGTCTTGAATGTTTGTTCAACTTAATAGAGAGCATTACACAGGGAAGAATATCGCTGAGACTTCTACACTACAAGTAGTATTTTAGGATGGAAAAAATACTTGGCTTTTTCCTAGGACATCTGATAATTATGGCAAGAATATGTGTCTTGTGCAACAGTAAATGAATATATACACACATATAAAATTGCATTGGAATTGCAAATAAACTTGAAAACACAGAAATGTTTCCAGTGCAGGGCCCCGACCAACCACGTGAGTGCCACTGCAGTGGGGGCATAACTCTGGCAGCTGTGCCACAGGACTGTGGCTTGGGCTCCTGTTCTGAGGGAGGCGCCTGCATGCAGATTTTGGTGCACCCCTCCCCTCCTGGCTCTTCTGCTTGGTGGCCACAGAGCAGATGAGCCACTGTCCCTGTCCTCCGGGCGCCTGTGTCTCAGATCAGTCAGTGTTCGCACCCTGGCTTAGGAAGGCCTCTCAGAGCACATGGAAGGCACACTGACGCTGGGGCTGCAGTTTGCTCTCTGTTTCTGAGGGAACTCACTCTTGTAATTATAGTCATAAAGTTATAGCAGGGCTACACTGCCACCACTGGTATCTAAAACTGGTTTTCTTTTAACAAGTATAATTTTCTTGACTAACTAGTTTCTGTTTCCTGAAGTTTACAAGGTTAATTTCTTCATGAAGCCTGAAGTTTCCTTTCTCTGTTGGACAAGTTTTTGCTTCTGAGTCTAAGTAGTAATTGGCAGAAGCACATTAAACCTTGCAGAGAAACCTCACAGAAGAAAAAGAAAAACTATTTTAAAGGAATGACTCATGTTCTACTGATTACAATTGAGAGTTAGAAATTCACTGTCCAGGTTAGTTCTTGACACAACCATTCCATAGGTGACCTTTCACACATCATTTCATTTTATTCTCACTCAATTTCCTCAATCTAAAACTTATAAAACGCCAGAGACTTTGAATAAAAAGTTAAGGAATTGACTTAGTTTTCGTGTGTGGTTTTTTTAATAGAGTGAGAAATACATTGTAGAAACATTCTCAAATCTTAAAACTGCTTTCAAAGAATCAAGTTTGTACATCATATTTACTTAGTTATTTTCATAAATGTAGAAGTCAGATTATAGCTCAATTACTCTTCTGTGCATTTCAGTTTGGTTTACAGCGGTTTTCACTGCCACCAATTTTGAATAATTTGGGGAAGAATAGGGATGTTTGTCATGCTGGTCCTTGGGAATAGCAAGTGAAAACAATCAAGCAATTTGTTCCCCCCGGCACCATAAATAGCAACTGTTTTAAGAATGGTTTTCCTTGCTAAGGGCTGATACGTTGTTCTAGAAAAGGGAACTGGGCTAGAGAAGTTGCAGAACAAAAGTTAAGATTTATGACTTCTACCCGACTTGTTAGTATAACAAATTAAAGAATAGCTTGAGCCTAAAGAATAGCTTGAGAATATGTGGAAGTTCTTCATTTTGGATCCTTTAGATTTAGAAGGCTTAAAAGGCTTAAAAAGCTTAGAAGCTTAGAAGGCTTATGGATGGGCTGCAAAGCCTGAAAACTCTGGAACTGAGTGTGCACTCCCTGTTTAGGGTGGGTGCACGTTTTTCCTGTAGCCAAGCCGGTAGCATCCATTAGTTGATAGTCTCTGACTCAAAATAGGTTTAGCCCTTTGTGAAGCTAGGTATTGGGTAACTATAGGCTTGTACCCATGGCAACCAAGTTTTACATTTTTAAAATTTTGACCAAGGAGCTAAGCACTGTTGTTGGAAAGAGCTGAAAACACACTTATTCCTAAAATGATGAACATGACCTTAATGTACCTAAAAGCTGAGAATCATTGACTTTCTTAGTTGATCAAGAAATGTCTTTACGTATTCTCCATGGGATGTATGATCTTCCTATCTGTTACAGGGTGCATAGTGTACTGACCGTGACTAAGGATGGACTGATGGAATACTCACAAATTATGATAGAAAGTTCCTAACTTGCTAAAATTCATGTTTAAAAGCAAATTGTTTATTGTATTAATAAAGTTAAACAAGTCATATACCCATTTTTCATTTGGATTTTTTTTAAGAAAAAGTGTTCTGCTTATCAAGTCGGTATGATACCCTGATTAGGGTACAGTCTTTGGAAATAGACCTGTTTAAATCTTCACTTTGACCAAGTTACACATCTCTGTGGCCTGCAAAACAGAATAGCATTTGCTGTATAGAATTGTTGTGATACTTAAACACAATAATTTATGTCAAGTGTATGGCTCAGAATAGGCATGCAAATGAGATGATATGCTTGCAATTATAATGTATTAGTAGCAGAAAATAATTATAATCGTCTTATCCTGGTATTATACTTTGTCATTTACATTTCTTTACATATACTATACATGTTATAAAAGTACTCATGATATTTGATTCAATTTAGAGAATTAAGACGGATTCTTATTGGCATAAATAATTAGACTTTATAGTTCACTTATAACAATATCTGTAATAGATGAATGTTGTTCTCTATTCAAAAGTTAAATTGCTTGTCCTTTTCTCCCCACCCCACCCCCAGAGGAAAGTTTGCTGTGGTTCGACAGTGTATATCAAAATCTACTGGCCAAGAATATGCTGCGAAATTTCTTAAAAAGAGAAGACGAGGACAAGATTGTCGAGCAGAAATTCTCCATGAGATTGCTGTGCTTGAACTGGCAAAGTCTTGTCCCCACGTGATTAATCTTCATGAGGTCTATGAAAACACAACTGAGATCATTTTGATACTGGAATAGTAAGTACGGTATATTTTATAAGTTTAAGTTACTAATTTTAATTGATAGAACATAGTACATTGAAATTGGCAGACATAAAAATGATAAAAAGTATGGTAAAAAGCTTACATCTGTCGATAAAATATTAGAGACTGTATATTCAAGATTTCACAAAAAAGAGAAAATAAGTTACTACTCAACATTAAGGGACGGGGTGAAATAAGTGTAGTTTTATTTTGCTATTGGCAGAGAATTTGAGACTTTCCTGAAACACAGTCTAATGGGCAAATAGAACTGAAGGAATGAATGTATTTTGCCCATCTATTTGGAAAACACCTCCAAGGAAATGATCTAAGGAGAACAGAAAAGCAAACTGCATAATGGTACTCCTAGTACATTGTTTAACAAAGAAACATGGTGTGTGCGTTTGCAAACACACGCTGTTAAGCATGTAACAACAAGAAATAAGTTATATATCTTATCAAAGAAAAATCAAAGACCCTCAAATAGTCAACAGTGTGTGAGTTGGTCTGAGTCGAGGGAAGTTAAAATAGCTGTAGGTATCAACCAGTATTTTACATGTTTCTTTCAGTAGTACCCAGTATTTCCTACACAGGTATAAAAAATGTGTTTGCACATCTGCAGCAACTGGAAAGCATCAGCTAAATTTATGTTTAATACCTTTCAGGTTTTGGCAATTTTTAATAAATCTATTTTATATTAAACAAGATAAGTTACTTTTTAGAAAAAAGATGTATTAGGAACCATAGTAACTTTTTATAGCTATCTTGCATCATTGCATTTTTGAATTTAAAAGTATATCAGCTTTACTTTAGTATTATTTTAAGAATGGAGACTCTGTGTATATATATATATATATTCATGTTTTTTATGCCAGGAAATAGATTTGCCTGGTATCAACTTGAAAAAGTGAAAATACTGATTTTTTAAATTGTAACCTAACAAATAGTTAATTAAGTATAAATACTATGACATTTCCCAGAGCTTCAAGATTCCACATTAAGGCATGTCACAGTGTCTTCAGTATTAATTAGAATTGCAGGGAAGGCCAGGAGCACCAGTATGATTTCATTTTTCAGACATTTGTGATTACTTTGTCAAAAATTCTTTAGCTATCTGCATGCTATTTGCATGATTCTGCACTTTTATATAGTTTTTATATTCTGCTTTTATATAGATTTTTATACAGTTCTGCTTGAACTATATAAAAAGTAGATAATGTTTTTCAAAAATTGTAATGAAATACTAAGTTTGGAGGACGGCTAGACACAGGTACACTGGTGAGTGTCATAAACTCTCCTCTTAGGGGCTTATCCAAACAGCAACAGCAAAATACATTCAAAAGTATCGACATATTTAATGAATCGCTCTTGTTCATACTACTGTGAAAACTGATTCGGGTTCCCTTCCCAGTAAACTAGAACTCTTACTGATGTGTGCACAGCTGGTTGGAAGGGAGAAGCACCCAGCAAGTATTTAGTGAATTAATATATTTATTGCCAGAATGACTAAGATTTACTAGAGTTTATTGCTGAGATTTTGGCTTAGTTACTGTGCCTGTCATTTTGGGGTGGTCTGATCATATCAGGTAGCTTTAGTGTATAGAAAAAATTAGGTCAGAGAGGTTTGTCCAGTAAGGTGGCATAATTCTTATGGTAAAAATAAGATGGTGTAATCTTTCACTCTTGGGACTATTGCCAATTCCGTTCTCTCCTCAGGCCACCTTACATACTTGTTTTTCTTTTTATTTTACCAAATTTCGATCAGAATATTTTCCCCTTGCATGCTGAATGAAATATTTATTCCAAAGAACAGGGCACTTTTTACACAGCCAACACCAGCATCAAATTTAGGAAAGTTAACATTCAGCCAATGATATCATCTAATAGTCATTCTTTAAACATTTCTTTGATTGTCTCTAAATTGTTCTGTAGAATTGGTTTTTTTTCCCCAGTACAAAACCCAATCAAAATTCATACACTGTACTTGTTAAATCTCCTCAGTCATTTTATTTTTCATGACTTTGACATTTTTGGGGAAATCTGCATCACTTAACACATGCAATGCTATACATTCTGGATCTTCTTTCTCCATTAGATTTTTAACATTTTTATCAAGAAGACAGTGTAGGTGGTGCTGTTTCTGGTGGCATTACTGCCAAGTTGTTTTTTTTTTTTAATTTGACCGTGAGTAAGACACAATGTGCCAGCTCTCCCATTTATTCCTGTTTGTAATTGGTCATGTGTGCAGTGATATTTAGAGACCTGGGAATACCTTCTTGTTCTTACAACTTTTCATGCAGTGGTTTCAGTAACAATTGCTATACTTGAATTAACTACTACAATAGAGGTCTGAAAGTGGTGATAATAGCTTATTGTGTTTTAATTGATGGAGTCTAATCAGTTGCTACCACCATTTTTTTATGCTGAAATTGTCCAAAATGTATCAGTGGTTAAATTTATCATGTGGCCTTTTAAGTTATTGATGTGTCGTTTTAATATGATCATGTTAGTGTTTGAGGACTTCCTTGCTTTAGGCACACCAGGGTTTCTAGAGTCACTTTCTCCAGGAAGTTCTAGTTTTTGGTGCAGAATCATACTTAGAAACTAAGATAGAGATGCTGGGATGCTCACGGACAGTGGGTGATCACTGCTCCTGGACCTTGCCTGACACTAGTGTTAGGAAGCTGTATTTGTAAAAATCATGAATTTATTCTCACAACTCCACTCTTAGTCTACCACCATAAGGTTCTTTATCACTCCTCACATAATGTGTTGTTGTTGTTATCTGCCTGCTTCCTCGACAGCACTTAGCATTTGTCTTACCCAGCAACATATACAGAAAAGTTTGAGTGTAGCAGTATGTGTTACCAAACCGTTCAGTGAAGTTTGACTTTTTTGTCGCCATTCTTTTTGAATTTGCAACATAACCTAAGGCAGTGGCCCCATGTACCAGGAACTGTTTTTGTGGACCACAGATTTTCTGTGGATTGGGGAAGTGTGGTGATCCAAGGAGGTTACATCAGTTGTGCAGCATAAATACCCTTGCCACTCACCGATAGGGCTCTGATAGGAGTCTGCAAGCAGCTGGTTAACTCTGCTCTGTGGGCAGTCACCCCTTTCTGTACCTGCTGCAGTGTCCCTGCCTCAGCCCCGCCTCAGACAGCAGGCACTAGATTCCCAGCAGGAGCATGCAGCCTGGATCCCGCACATGTTGTTCAAGGTAGGGTCTGCACTCCTGTGAGAACCCAGAGTCACTGCTCATCTGATGGAAGTGGAGCTCAGGCTGAGATGCCAGTGATGGGGAGGAGCTGCGAACATAGGTGCCGCTTTCTCCCCTGCTGTGTCCTAATCAGCCTGGTTCCTTCCTAACCAGCTTGGACCTGGATCCCTGCACTAAGGGCAAATAGCTGGAGTTATGTAGTTAGGTGTGTTTGTTTCTATTTATGTTAATTTAGGATTTGGTTTTGTAAATTCTTTTAAAAACACTTTTGAAATTATAAAAATAATTTGCATGGTTTAAAACTCAAAGATACATGAAAATGTACACTACCAAGTCTTGCTACCATTCCTATTCTTGTTATTGTCTTCGCACTTAGTCTTTGTAGGTAATTGTATTTATTCATTTCTAGCTCATTCTGTTCTTTCTTTCTTTTCCTTTTCTTTTTTCTTTTTTCCTTTATGTTGCAATGTCTTCAGCATGCTAGACAGATACTGTACCACTGAGCTAGCTACACCCTCAACCTCTGGCTTGTTTTTCACATGCTGCTTCTTGCAAGTGTAAGTGAATTTATACATCTTTGTATTTCTTTTAGCTATGATAAAAGCAGCATACCATATATGCTCCTTTACACCTTGTTTTTTTTTCTTAAACCTAACAGTACCTCTGAAAAGGAAAACTTGCTTTTACTCACCAGAGACAATTCTGTGAGATCATGTGAGACCTATATAATATTTTCTTTTTGGTCAAGAAATTACAAAAAGTTAATTTCTAATTTTTGTATATGAACTATCTTTTAGGTGAATATTATAGACCCAGCAGAAAGTGATGCAGATTATAATAAAGTATGTAAAATAGCAAAAGCCTTACCTCCTGGCATGATCTCCATCACCAGAGTGGCGCATTTTACCAGCATATAAATGGTGTCAATAAAAGCACGCCTTGCTAACTGACCGTGCAGCAAGCACTGCACTGAGCACCGCAGCTGCATTGGTATCTGAGTTGTGAAACTCCTCCAAGAAAGCCTGACATTCACATCCCACGTTCTAGTTCAGAGGCATGAGGAACTGCTCTGATGGGTTTCTTCCCATTCTAAAACTTCATTGTCATTATTTCTGCCACTGGCATAGATTTTTTTTTTTTTTGGTCTTTTTCCTTTTTATCGGTACCGTGGATTGAACTCATGACTGCCTGCTTGCAAGGCAGGTGCTTATGCCACTGAGCTAAATCCCCAGCCCCTGAGATATATATTTAAAGAAACTCAGTATAAAAAGTTAAAAAACTACTTCATTTGGATCCCTAGAAATACTTATTTTTAACATCTTTACTGTGTTTTTCCAAAGCTGCATGACTAGGTCTGTAATTTGGATAATGGAGATACTGCTTTCTTTTTCTGAAAGTTTTGACTCTAGTATCCACAGACATCCATCATTTTGGAAGATAAAATATTCTGATTTTTAGCTTTTCTTATATTAACTTCATATTTATTATGTTATTGGAGTCTTTCCATATATACTTTCTCCTTTTCTACTGAGTCTCAAACTGTGTTATGAAAGCTGCAAGGGGCAAACGCAGATATAGACAGTGTACGGCTCATAGCTTCACATCACAGGGCAGCTGTGCTGGAGCACTGAGACCGTGCACCGAGCGGGAAACGCAGGGACAGGTGGAGGCACGCTCCAGCTTTCTGGGTGTGTTGTTAGTGTCCCTTCAGGGACCCTGGATGTGCCTGCCAGGCCGATGATGATGCAGGCGGTTTTTCTGACCTCAGTGTTATCTGCCTCTGTGTGTGTGTGTGTGTGTGTGTGTGTGTGTGTGTGTGTGTGTGTGTGTGTGTGAGTGACTGCTCAGGGGGACTTGTTACATAAAAAGGGTCCACTTGTCTGCTGCTCACGGTTCCTCTTTCTGTTCCTGATTCCTGCGAACTTCTGCAATCTGCTGCTTGTGTCGTCCGCTCCTTCCTTCCTCTGAACTCTTTCTAACTCTCGATTCTCCACCGTGCCCCTCTTTTGTGGGCAGAGTCCTGCAGGACACTGGTCAGTGTCCAATCCTGAGGGGGAGACACTGCAGGGCCAGCTGGCAGTCACAGTGTGTTATTCTTGATGTAAGCAAAAAATCCTTAGGACGCTCTTCCTGGTTATAAAAGCAATACATATTCATTAGATTTAAAAGATGTAGGACCCATGTAAACTGTGATTACTTTACGGCACATTCTTGTAGTTTAGAATCATTCTTATTGCTTGATCTATACATGTGTAGCTTCAGAAGTGAAGTTGCAATCTACTGGGTATACTCTATTGTAAGTCTTTTTCACTTAAGAATGCAAATTTTAATTTAGCAAGACTTTAAAAGTTACTTTCAAAATGGGGTTCAACAAGAAGCCCTTAAATGCAGAAAGGTTGGATATTGTCTAGAGTAGAATTAATGTTTGTTGCTCCACCATATTAGGGACTGATGTGTAGTCCAGGTCAGATACCGGATGCACGCTTCCAGGGATGCCTGCTGTGACCCTTGCGAGAGCTCTGGGGCCAGGTACCTCACATACATTAGCCAGTGTAAGTCCCACATCGGAGGTTGGGGACCTCATTCTCGCGTCTCAGTGGAGCAAGCAGGCATCTCATCCCCATTTGCATAGCGGGTTAGTGACAGCCCTGCGATTCTGCAGACACCGCAGACTGTCTGTGCTCCCTCTGCGGGCCTGGGGCAGCCGCCACTGCCTCTTCAGCATGGCTCTTTGGGTGTATGTCTCATGAAGTGCCTAGCAAAGAACTTATTTTCAAAGATTCTGAAGTTCATCTCTTCATTTTCTTACAATTACATTAGTAATATTATGTAATGCAATGTTACTAGTCATACATCTTGAATGTTTTGGAGGAATATATTTAAGTCACTGTTTTGAGACAATTTGTTTAGTTAAAATCAGATCATGTAACCAGAAAGGGAAGAGTGAAAGTGTCGCCATTGTCATTCTTCCCTGGAGGGACCTCCAGAAGGCTGTAGGGCCACCAGGAGGAGTTTAAATACTCACCGTTTATGGAGATGGATTTATTTTAGGCAAAAAAGAAACAACAACAACAAAGCATTTACGCAGTTGTCCTCGTGTACCTTATTTTGGAGTTTCCCACTGTGAATTGAGAGTGGCACACTGTCCTGCAGATTGTGTTCCGCAGAGGCCGTGAGGCAGATGGGAAGTCAGTTTCTTAGCTCTCCGAGTCCTGGTGGGCGGTGGGGTGGCGCCTGTGTGGCTCTGCTGCTGCTTCTGCAGACATCTGCACAGCATGACTTAGCAAATTCTGTGGCTTCGGTGGCACACTGCTGATGACTCGGTGGCGAGTGACAGATGCAGTGTATCTAGGCTGAGATCACCATTGTTTCTCAGGGCTCCTATAAGGTGCTCATGACTTTTTTCTTCTCCCTGGCACTCCCGGGATCTTCTCAATCCCAGCTCAGACTCTCTGAAGAATGCATGCCAGATGCTCTTCTGGAAGTTGTGGGTCAAAGGAACCAGTGAACCAGAGAAATAAAGAGTAGTTTTTTCTAGCTTGAGTTGCTGCTTGATAACATAAAATATGCTCTACTTGAATTTTCCCAAGCATAAATTTGATGAGCAACCGTCTGGATTTTTTTGCATGACACTTTCACCACTTTTATCTTATTTTTACTTAATTCTCAAAAATCTGTTGAGTTTAGTGAGATCTGTTTTACAGATGGGGAAACTCAAGTACTATAAATGACAGACCCTAAATTGTATTGCCAATAAATAGCAGATTTAGGATTCAGTTTGGATTGTTTGATTTCAAACCTAGGGGTTTTTCAGTGTGCCTTTTTGAGCATCTTTAGATTTCAGTTCTTTAAACGTATCATTGGCTTCTGGTCCCGAGCTTTCTACATGAAGCTGCAAGACAGGATATTGGTTAAGAATGTGGATTCTTAACCACATTATACAGATTCCTATTACGACACCATGTTTACTGTGTGACTCTAGCAGTTGCTTAGCGTTTTCGTACTTGTTTCATCTGTAAAATGGGAATAACCACACACCTCACGTGGTATCATGAAGCTCAGCGTAGACGAAAGTCTTAAGACATAAGCAGATTTATCCATGCAGAGAGCAGAGCTCAGAGCATTAGCTGCAGTTTCCATTATTTTTACTGCAGAGTTAAGGCGCACTACTGCCTTAGATTATAAAGTGACTCAGTTTGTTACATTTTCAAGTATTAATACAAGGTTTGAGTTCTTGTCATTTATTTTATTCTTTGACGATCCTTCCCTCTACCCTGTTTTTAAGTGTGCTTGTGTGTGTTTTGCACACACAGAAGTTTACATGGTTGTATATCTTTGACTTAACAGGTATATGGTCTTTAAAAGTTATTTTTAAGTTTCTGTTATTTGAATTTTATTTCAGTGCTGCAGGTGGAGAAATTTTCAACCTGTGTTTACCTGAGCTGGCTGAAATGGTCTCTGAAAATGACATTATCAGACTCATTAAACAAATACTTGAAGGAGTTTATTATCTACATCAGAATAATATTGTGCACCTTGACTTGAAGGTGAGGTAACACGTGACATGAAGGGGCACGGCGGCTGGGCTCGCTCTCTGCCCTTGGTGTGCAAGCTTCTAAGCCAGCGTGCCAGCGGGCAGCCACAGCTGGTTTCTAGGCGGCGCTGGGGCCCCGCTTGCTTGCCCGCTGTGCTACTGGGCTTGGTTTTGTACCGCAGCTAGGAAGCGGCTGTGTGTACACAGCTCAGACTGTAGCTTATCTATGCTACAGACCTGGCAGCGGCCAGACCCAGCTCGTGCACAGTCACGGCCCCGCACTGAAGCGCCTCTGCTTCACCACGTGGGCACCTGTCCGTCCCTGCCGTCTCTGCCGTTCCCAGGCCCCTTCCTGTGAGCACATCCTTGAGGGCTTCGCCCAGTGTCGTCTCCCCAAGAGCCTACCTGGACTCTGTGGGCAGCAGCAGGCAGCCTTGTGTCTGTTTCCGGGTTCTGTGTGTCTCGTACTCACTTAACCTTCAAGTGAAAATCCTTCTTGAGCAGAGTTTCTCCTCAGGAGAGGTGCCGTACGTGTTGGCAGGTGACCCAAGGAAGTGCGTGATAGATAAGCAGTAGGTTCCAGTTCATTTACCTCCAGCTTGAGGCTTGTATTATTCAGTTGCATGTTAAAGTACTTATAATTTTTTGTTCTGTTTTATTTAGCCACAGAATATATTATTAAGCAGTATATATCCTCTTGGAGACATAAAAATTGTAGATTTTGGAATGTCTCGAAAAATTGGGAATGCATGTGAACTTCGGGAGATCATGGGAACACCAGAATACTTAGGTAAGAATTCGCATTTATTTTCTACATCATTTTGAAATTTATTAAGTAGATGATACTTTTTAAAACTATATTTGAAGGCTGTTGATTAGTGTTAGTAGTGTTTGCCTAGCATATAGCATATAAAGCATATAAAGCCCTGGGTTCTATGTCTAACATCACAAATCAAAGAAAAACAGCAATACAGTCCTACCCTGTTATGTTTTTCCAGCATGTAATTTTGGGATTCATTTAGTTGAAGTACTTTAATGCACGGAAACTTGGTCATGACACATCTAAATGAATCATAGTGTGTGTGGGTACTGACACATTCATATTTCAGAGGAGTTGAGCAGTACACATGTAAAGTGTCATGTTTCATATAAAGACTTTGTCTCTACATAAAGAGAACAGTAATAAGGAAATTAGTTTAGGAACAGAAGAAAAATGGAAAAGGTAACACTGCCATAATCAAGTGCCTTTGAGTGCCTTTAAAGCCTGATTGTTGGATAGACTTCACTTTTTCTGTGGTCCCAGCTCCAAAGCTGTCTGTAATACAGATATCTTTGGTTTTGCAGGAATTGTTGGCAAGAGAGTTTGCTGTTTGTTGCTACTGCTGATGAATGGGAAGTTTTATATAGGGCAGTGAAAGAAGGATTTTGAAGACAGGTACCAGAAAGGGACCTATGATTGGATTATCTAGAAATACTGTCCCAAGTCAAAAAGTAGATCATGCGTATGAAAGATTCTTAAATTCCATGAGTGGCATATAGAGTATTTTGACTTATGCTAGAAATTTATTTACCTTTTTTATTGTTTGTGTGGCTGTCCCTATATAGACAGTGAAAAGTCACAGCTAAACACAACAGGTTACCACTCAGCCAGACAGTCATTTCCAGAAGTGAAAAGCAGTGTCAGTGACTAACTTTGGAATGCTAACACGGACCTCAATATGTATCCTCAAATAAATGGTGGTAAACTTTAAAAACACAGCTCACAAGAGTGTGTCAAATAGTTGCGGGTAGTTTACCAAAGACTACAAAGTAGTTGGACATTAGAAAATAAATTCATTTTGAAGAAAGTATTTGACTGTATGGTGAAAAAAAGGAGACAATAATGTTCCAGCTTAAGTCCTAGTTTGGATGTGATGGCAACATAGCAGTATGTGGTGATGCTGTGAAAGTATAGAGAATTCATTTTGCAGTTTGGGGGCTGGTGAAGAGATAACTGGAAGTTAACTGCTTAGCAAATGAGATTTTGAGTTTAAAAGGAATATTTAATCCACTTAGCATTTCTAAGAAGCATAATTTGTTCACAATGTCATTATAAATGAATATGATCTGATTTCTCTGAAAAGAAAAATTTAAATTCAATCTAATAAAATAATGCAAATTAATTACTAACAGTAATAAAATGAAAAATTTAAAACTATTCTAGCTTCTAACATTTTATTTATTCATAATTGTTTTCTCTGTTAATATTAAAATATTGGCTCTTTTAAACTACGTAACCACCAGTTACTCTATGAATATTATTAGTGTTTATGAAGCATTTAGTCATAACTTGTTTAATATTATACATGCTTACGTGTCTGATCACAGGCCAATTAAAAGTATGCTAAATTTCTGTTTGTGTTTTATCACTCTCTGCTTTTCAAAATTCAGTTCTAATTTAGTATAAAATAATGTTTGTCAGTATTGAATTTATATTTTATTCTCTTTCAGCTCCAGAAATCCTGAACTATGATCCCATTACCACAGCAACAGATATGTGGTAAGATTCTGTTTAGTTACCTAGCAGCGAAAGTTTGGTAGTGTACATTCTGCTGTTCTTTGATTCCAAATGTAAACTATAAGGCTTCATTTAAAAATTTTTTTCGGGGGCTGGGGATTTAGCTCAGCGGCATAAGCACCTGCCTTGCAAGCAGGCAGTCGTGAGTTCGATCCCTGATACCGATAAAAAGGAAAAAGACAAAAAAAAAAATTTTTTTTCAAGTATCACTATTATAACATAGGAGAATGTTTACCTGCTTATTTTGTTTAAGTAACACTGAGTCTCCCAGCCAGAAGTTCAGAAATGCCCAGGAAAATCCGCTTTAGTGATGAAAACTCAGTTGAATACAAGAATACATTCGGCCGGCGCAGGGCTGTGCTCCTGACAGGGAGAAAGCCCCGCAGTGGGGCAGCCTCCTGGGAACCTTAGGCAGTGCTGTCTGCTGGGAGAAGAGGGTGGCTGGGGGCGCTCCATAGCAGGGGTTTATGGAGGGACCCCGCCATCAAAAGCAGTTAAAGTCTGTAGTTTAAATGCATCAGTTTTTAGAACAGAAATGTGTAGAATATTGATTGTACATTATACAAATATTTTAAACATTAAATTGATTTGGAATTCTTCCTTTTTTTAGGAATATTGGTGTAATTGCCTATATGTTGCTAACTCACACTTCACCATTCGTGGGAGAAGATAATCAAGAAACATATCTTAATATTTCTCAAGTTAACGTAGATTATTCAAATGAAACCTTTTCATGTGTTTCACAGCTGGCCACAGACTTCATCCAGAGCCTTCTGGTTAAAAATCCAGAGTAAGTAGAACATTCATTTGTTTAAATACCATTACCAAAGAAGATGTGTCTATTAAGGAAGGTACATTCTAAAGTGGTACACAGTTCTTAAACATGTACTCAAATTTCAGGTCAAATGTAAAGATGGCATAAAAGCTAAATAAATAGCAAATATATAACTTCAGGGGCTGGGGATTTAGCTCAGCAGCATAAGCACCTGCCTTGCAAGCAGGCAGTTGTGAGTTCGATCCCTGGTACCGATAGAAAAAAAAAAAGAAAAAAATGTATATAATTTCAGATAGAAAATATACAATCGAATGTTTGCAATGAGAAGAGTTTTGGGTTCTTTCTTTCTTAACCATCTGCTAACCCTTGAAAACAAACATAAGTAAAAAGTCTAGCATACTATGGCTGGTTATGGTAAGACGTTATCATGAGTGATTTATAGTTTAATTATAGGTGAATAACAGGTACGCATTGTGGATTGTCAGCTCTTGAAGAGTAAGACTCTGTAACAGCCTTCTGTACCAGGGCCTTGAAATCCAGGGTGGAGATTGCCTCATGGGCAACTTCCCCACTCAGCCCCACTCGCTTTCAGGGGCAGAGTGGGGAGCCCCGGGACTGGGAGCCCCAAACTTCTTACTTTTTAGGGTTTTATCACTGACGATTAATCTCCTGAAGGACTCATATTCTTTATCTATTAAAAAATCTCAAGCACCTGCCTTGCAAGCAGGCAGTCGTGAGTTCGATCCCTGGTACCGATAAAAAAAGAAAAAGACAAAAAAAAATCTCAAGTTTCTTAATTATTTTATTGGACTAATTCAAGTCTAAACTGTTACAAACTATATCTGAATGTGAATGATTAGTAGAAATAATAATGATTCCATAGTTTCTGGCTATATAAGCAAGTTTAATTTAATTTAATTTTTATTTATTTATTTACTTTTTGGTACTGGGGATCAAACTCACGGTCTCATGCTTGCCAGGCAGGCACTTATACTGTTAAATTAAATCCCCAGCCCTAAGTTTAATTTTCTTAATATGTTTTACCTAGATTTTCAGATGTTTGTTAATGATCATATTAATTCTTGTGATGAGAAAAAAACAGTCTAAAAAAACATATGCAGTCATGCTCAGAGTTATACAGAGGTGTTTTTCCTTTGATTTGAAACATTTTGATATTTGATCATTATACTTCCAAGACAGAAAGCAAACCTTAAGAAGTTAACGTGTTGGATAACCATTATAGAAGACCAGCCTTTGTTTTCAAGATTTAGAAGTTACTGCTTTTAAGGAATACAAGTGATAGAGAAAATGAATTACTTAAATTTTCCTCCGAGGCTTTTATCAACCCAAGTGACACATAATTTTACTTACTTTTCTTTCTTTTGGAGACAGGATCTCCCTTTGTAGTCCAGGCTGGTCTTGGAACTCACTGTGTATCCTAGGCTGGCCTTATCCTCACTGTTGGTGACCCTCCTGCCTCAGCCTCCTGAGTGGTGGGATTACAGGCATGCGCCACCATGCCTGATTGTGGTTTTTTTAAACTTATTTTTTGTTAGAGTAACATATACCTTCAAGCTTTTTGACTAGATTTTCGTTTGTGAATTCCATGATAAACTGCCTTTCCAGTACACGTCAGGAGTCCAGAAACTCTGCTCCTCCGGCCCGCCTTCTCCGAGCAATCCCAGGTGGATTCTTTCCACCCAGTGAGATGCACACAGCAGAGGCGGGCGGGGCTGGCGAGGGACTACAGGGGTGACTCCCTGATGTTTTTCCACTTATTATTCTGTTTCCGTAGGTGTAACTAAAGGAAGCAGCATTCCAAGATGGTTGTTTAGTAGCTGCAATTATAGGATGTCTTCCACTTGAATTGGCCAGTTTTAATTTTTAAAAATCTGTATTTACCTAGAACATAAGGCAGATCTTTTTTTCTGCAGTGAAAGAAATCTCAACATTAAGTGCAGCTTTCAAGTCACTTGCAGAAGACTTACTTAATTTTTAAATTAGAAACACTACAGTTTTTTCCTACTAACAATCTTTCCATATTGGTTGTACTTCCAAGAATTTTACTAGGAAAAAGTTAATTTTAAGGTTCTTCCATATTTAAGTATAAATTCATGTGCTTAGAGTACAGCTCATTGGTAGATCACTTGCCTCGCCTGCCTAAGACCTGAGCTTGACCTGTACCACATTCATAAAAAAGAAAAACATCACTCATGAGAGAGTGAAAAGTAAGATTTAAGTTCAAAAAGTAAACCGTGAAAGTTCTATAAAACCTTGTATTTTTTTCATAGACCTTAGAAGGTCATTTGGAGGTCAGTTGAAACTATCTTTCTAAATATAGAGACCTAATAATATTATGGCTAATTTATTCTCTGGAAGTAATCAGAAGTTCCCCAGAACATTTTCTCAGTGCTTACTGCAGCATTATTTATGATACCAAGTTTTGAAAGCACCAGTAGGTGTCTGGTTAGTAAACGATGGTGCACCTATGTGTAAGAGTGATGAATGATACAGCCATTATTTAATATACTGACTGTACTGATGTGGAAAGATGCTTGCCATCCATCATCAAGTGAATGAACAAAGCAAACTGCAGGCTGCAGGCAGATGTACTGTGTGTGAATGTGTGTGTGTGCGTTTATACATATGTAGAGAAAATACCTGCAGGTAGAATTGGAGAATGAGAGAAGAGAGAAAATTTTATTTTTTACCTTCATGGGAAATAATTGGGTATAATATTCAAACACAGACTCCAGAGTTAAGATTCCCTTTACTGTACCGTGTTCGTTTTCACTGACAGTGTATGACAAATGCCTGAAAAATCAACTTCAGAGGAGGAAAAGCATGTTTCAGCTCAGGGTTTCAGAGGTCTCAGTCCGTGGTTGGTTGGCTCCACGGTTCGTGGGCCCGTGGCAAGGCAGACGTTGTGGTGGGGAGTGCACAGTGGGGAAGAGCTGCTCACCTCCTGGTGCCGGGAGCAAAGGAGAGGAATGGTCAGGGTCTTCATACCTCTTCAAGGACATGCCCAGTGACCTAGCTTCCTCCCATGAGGCCCATCTCTTAACAGGGTCCCCATCTCCCTGTTCCTACCAGACAGGTGGCCAAGCCTTCAGCACAAGGGTTTTGGGAGGCATTCTGCACCCTTGGCTCCAAAGGCTTATGTGCATCTCATAGTGAAAAATGCATTCAGTGCATCTCCAAGAGTCCCCAAAGTCTGAACAGTTCCAGCATGGCTCAAAATCCCATGTCCAGAGTTCCCTGAGACTCAGGGTCTTGTTTTTAGCTGTGAGGCCCTGTAAACATTAAAAACAAAGTTCATCTTCCTGTGACATCGTGGCACAGGGTAAAGGTTCCCACTCCCAAAGGTAGGAGCAAGAAAATAACAAGGAACAATCAAACTGACACTCGACCGGTACCCAGTAGGACAAAGCTTAAATCCCATAGCTCCGAGTCCGCCATCAGGGCACATGGGGATGGTGTGAGCTCCAGGGTCCCTGGGCAGCCCCTTCTTGCCGCCGCAGCCTCTCTCAGGCTGGCTTTGCTCACTACTTGCCACTTCTGGCTGCAGGAAGTCCAGGTTCCTGGCATCCCTAAGGTCTGGGACTGCCGCTAAAGCGCTGACTTCTCTCTCAGCTTTTCTGTGCCTGTCTCATCAGGCTGCTCCCAGGGATCACACTGCCTGGCCTCAGGCTTTCTTTTGAAATCATGGTGGAAGCCTCCCAACTCCAAAACTCTTGCACTGTACATTGCTGCAAGAGCAGCATCCTGTGGACAACTGCAGCATCTGCTTCCAGCTGGGACGTGGGGCCTCTTGCACTGTGGCTGCAGCAGCCTCTGAGTGCTGGCTGGAGGAGCGTGGGAGGGCAGGTATTGGGAAAAGAGCTCCTAAGGCATCTGTGTGTGAGCAGGGTACCCCAGTCCTTGGATGAGTTCCACTTTTACATCTTTGAGCCTGCGGTGGGTGGGATGTGTGAGATGCCCACAGAGAATCTCTCCTGTATCACCCTGAGCTGAAACTTTACTTGTGCTTTCTGGCCACAGTGTAAATTTTCATTGCTGCCTCTCCTTGCTCCTTTTGTTCTCACTAAATCTGGCCCAAAGCACCCAGTGCACGGTACCCACGCCATGGCATCAGGGCTGTGCCTGCAGGTTAATGGGTCCATCACCTTGAAGCTCAGCCTGCCAGAGAGCCTCAGGCATAGACCAAACACTGACCACGTCTTTGCCAGAGGTAAGGTGGTGCTCTAATAAAGTCCTTTCCACCTGACGCCTCAGCAGCAAGGTCTTTACTGTCCACATTCATGTCAGTGTTTGGTCGTCTAAGCCCCACCAGAGTGACCTTTGGGCACTGCTTGGATCATTCCATGCTTTTCCTAACCTGTTTCGCCACACTTCGTCAGTTTCCTCCTGCAAACAGAGCCCAGGATTTCCGAACCACATCAGCAGGTGCAGTCCCAGCAGCACCCCCTTACTGCCCACCTTCTGTGTTGGTGCTAGTGTTACATTAGGTGAAGAATACCTGAGGAGTCACCGTGGAAGTGAAGGCTGTCTGCGCCAACAGCTCTGATCCGTGGGTGCTTGGCTGCCTCGTTTTGGCCTGTGACGAGCAGAGCCTGGTGGTGGAGTGAATCTCACCTCATGGCAGCAGGGAAGCTCAGAGATGAAGGAACAGAATCTGGGGTCCTCATCTCCTATCTGGGGACACATGGGCAGTGACCTAACTTCCTTCCACCAGCCCCGCCTCCCGCAGACTCCTCTCCCATCCAGGATTGCCACAGGCTGGCGGCAGGCCTTTGACACGTGGGGCTTTGGGGGAGTCCAGGATCCTAACTGTAGCCTGTGCCATTTACAAGATGGGAGGATTTGGGAAAACCCAAGTCTCTTGGTGTCCTTTAATACAGTAGCATCCATTGTCTAGGTTTCTTGTGATCGTAATATCCTGGAAACATGTATAGGCCACCTGGCATAAAGCTAAGCACTCAGTAACACTAGCTGTCTCATCACTGCGAGTCTCGGCAGCATTATTTGGGTGTTATCCTATGAGTAGCAGTGTTTTCATAATAATTAAAAAGTTGTCTAGAATCTGTCAAATGAGAACTTTCCAACTTGGCTGGAGTGTTCAGGTTTCCCTCGGTGCTTTCTTTCCAAGGAGCAGACCCTCGGCGGAATCCTGCCTGGCGCACTCCTGGCTGCAGCAGTGGGACTTTGGAGGCTTCTTTCACCCCGAGGAAACCTCCAGTTCCTCTCTAATTCAGGACCATTCGGTGAGGTCCTCCGAAGAGAAAACGTCGAAACCCTGTTGTACTGGACCGTGTGGGGACCGGGAAGACAAGGAGAACATCCCAGAGGACGGCAGCATGGTTTCCAAAAGATTTCGCTTCGACGACTCTTTGCCCAGTCCTCACGAACTCGTTTCGGATGTGCTGTGTTAGCACTTTCTCCTCGGACTCATTTGGACAGTGAACGTTGAAATCCACTCCAGGCAGAGCGCTTGTGGGTTGTGACTTCGTATATGTTATGTTTATATTGTAAATGCACTTTTGCAGAGAAAAATTTAAGAAAGGGTTTTTATGCAAAGTTTCCAGTTGCGAGCATAATATTATTTCCCGTCTTGAGATAGCTTGATAAAGAAAAATATTTAAATATGTGGCAAAAAAATTTTGAAATATATTTCAAAAAATTGAAATTGTAGATGGGAGTTCACATGTAAATGAATGAATTCAAGTTCAAATGAACTTAAAATTTTTTTATGTATAGAAAGAAACCAGGCCTGGGTTATGCTATGTTGGAAACTGAGGGAAATGAGGGCGCTACAGGTGAGCTCTGTGCTCTGACTGCTGACGGTTGGTTGGGGAAAACAGTGTCAATTTTAAGCCAAAAATTACGCCGCTCTACAGATGCCCCAGGGCCATTTTACCACTGAAATGGTTTTCAATTACAGATATTTTAAAGCTGCTTTTAGGTTTCTACTGTGTGTGATTTGCTAAGTGAAACCCGGGCAGAGAGGGCACCGGAAGGCGGGGGTCCCCCCAGCTCGTGGGAGCCCAGTGCCGCGGGCCTCCCTCTTCACCTCACCGCCTTTCCTGTTCTCGGCCGCCTCACGTCCAGCGAGCCCAGGGAGGTGGAGGCACCTGGTAGGCCAGGACCTTGGGGTTCTTCAGTCTCGGGGCTGTCTGGAGGGGCAGACACCCAGGTGAAACGCAGGGGCCAACTTTTAGCCACGTGTACTAATGGAGCATGGGAGAAAACATTGACAGACTCGGGCAGCCTAGTCAGCTTAGATGTGTTCTAAGTCTTAGAATAGAAGCTCATCATTCAGGGTCCTAAAGTGCACATAGAAAACACACAGCCAGACACAGTGGTGCACGCCTGGGATCCCAGCACTCAGAAGGCTGAGGCAGGAGGATCCCTGTGAGTTTGAAGCCAGCCTGGACTACATAACTGAGTTTCAGACCAGTCTGGACTACATCGTGAGACCCCGTCTCCAAATAAATAAATAACATGAAGAGAAAACACTGCACCACCTCCAAGGCCAGTGCCAGTGCCAGGAGCCACAGTTGCAAGGCCAGCATGACAGGAAGGTTCTCGCCTGCAGTTCCTGGCACACACAGAGGCTGAGCCGGCTCTGCAGGGGCTGTTTGCTGGGAGTGGCGCAGGCGGCATGGAGGGAAGACGGCCCGGGATATGGCGGTTCTGCCTGGGGCTGAGTGGGGAGCCCTTGGGTGGCTCTGATGAATCTCTACCCGGTGATCATTGTACAGTATGATGTAAAGGTAACTGATCTCATGGCCGTGTGATTATGTCAAGCTGTGTGTTTATGTTAACAGAGAGAGAAGCACCTCAGATTGCCCTGTGAGTTAGATGTTACCCCCTAGACTGTTCATTCTGGAAGTTCAGGTTCTTTAGATAACTTTAGTGTTTAGTAACCATGACTTGTTTTGACTAAATGAGGAATTCCTTTAATACCTTCTTCATTTTTCAAGGAACAGTTGTTTCTACTGTGTGTGTGCACACGTGTATATGTGTATATGTGTACATATAGATAGATACATATAGCCTTGAAACAATCGTCTTTTAGGCCGTCTTTGCTTTACTATCTTGTACTCAACTCAGGTGCCAAAGGAGCTATCCTTTCATGAATAAGAAATGTTTATTCAGTAAGAAGTCATTTGTTGGTCCAGTAGACACTGCAGATGCTGAAGGGGGCTCTTGTTTGTCTACAGCTGGGTAGATGAGCTATTTCTAAAGTTTTGATTCTTATTTGTCTTCAGTATTAAGTAATCAAGTAAAGCTTAGAGAATGAGGAAACAACTACTTTTCTAAAAGACTGTTGTTATATTTTTAGACATTTTACAGGAGTCATGCCATAACAAACAATAAAGGTGAAGAAATGATTGAATTTGAAATATGAGCTACTTCTTAAAACCCTCTGTGTGGTCTCTCGCTCTCTCTGGGGAAATCTTGAGCCAGTCTGCGTGTTTCCCTGAGTTAATGGAATACACGGAGTTGCGTGAATCCCCACAGAAGTGACATTGTTTTACCATAAAGAAACCAACTAGTTAAATAAGAAAGGACAAAGAATGTAAAACTGTCTTCTCATAAAGGTGCTTTTAAATATTTTCACTAACTGAAATGTGAAAATAAACCACCCTTTTAAGAGATTTTATTAGCAACTGACTCGCCTCGAACCCTTTTCCTGCAAGTTGGAAGACAGAGTGGCTGTGAAGAGGTGACGCAGCCGCCCACAGCAGGACTCTGGTGCGTGTGATGACCTATGAAAGGTCGCTTGCTTTTCGGGTGGGATCTCTGGGCATGGGGGCTTGGTGGATGGTGGCATTTGGGTGGTTTTCCCTACTGCGTGCGAGGTCCTGAGGACCCTTGTAAAGGAGGTAAGAGGTGCCGTTCTCTGGTCTGTAATGAGACCAGTAAACGGGGTCAGAATAAAGTCTGCGTTCTCCTCATGATGCGGCACGTATGAGCCAACGTGGTCAGTGATGTGATCCACTTGGATTCTTTGCTGGACACATCAGTGACAGCAGTGAGCTTGATCGTTGGCCTGCTAGGAACTCACTCCCCTGCGAGCAAAGGAAGAAGGAGGTGGACCTTGAAACAGATCATGCAGCAGGGGACCGCTTAGAAGACAGGACACGAGAACTGGAGTGGGCTAGCTGAGAGCTTATTCTATTGCTGATTTTATTACCTCTCCTTGGCCAAGTCACGGTGGTGACCTCAAGTATCCAAAGCATCCAGCCTTTCGGCAGCCAGCCAACACTGCAGAGAGAGCCCTGCCCAGGGGAGGCAGCTCTGCCTTTGACAGGTGGGCAGGAGCAGCCACAGGGGCCCAGCAGGAAGCACTGCAGAAGCCGAGGCCCGAGACCCCCAGGCAGGCCCCCGCTTGACCCTCGTGAGAGGCAAGGGCCACACTCCACAGCACCTGTGTCCCACCACCAATCCCCAAGGGAGGGCGGCACAGTGACACCCCGAGGTGTGCACCAGCAGAGTTCAGAGACAGAGTGCAGTTAGCTACCCTTGGAGCACTCTGCCTCCAGGGTCAGCACGGACAGAGCCCGGGTCTGCCTTCCAAAGATCAGAAAACAGGTGATAGAACTTTAACCAGAAAACGTGTGGTTTAATGCATACAGACAGGCACCGTGAACATTTCAGCAAAAGCCCCTAAGACTCTTTATTATCAAAGCAGTGAGCCTTCTGGTTAAAACTTAAAGTGTGCTCTTTTCCCCCTCACACTGTCTGTTGTCTTACAGCATTTTATAATTCACTGTTTCCAGCCCTATAATTTACCCTCCTGATTGTCGTCGCCTTCGACAGGAACTCTTCGAATCCCCTTTTCAGGATAGCTGTTTACCATTAGGTCCTGTCCATGGCAAGGCCACATAAATTGGGAACAAGCAGGCATAGACAGATTTAGAAAGTGCCACAAGTGGCAGTGTGCTCCATGGTGCTCAGAAGATGGACACGTGGATTTTAAAGGTGGTAGTTTGTTTGTGGGCCCAGGTCCAGCCAATTCCGTGGTTCATAGTGGCTGCTTCTGATGTCGCTTCCACACCCGTCCCCTTATGTGTTTTCCTGCGGTGTCCTCTAGATTCTTACGAGGACACAGTCCTCAAGCTCAATCTGTGTATCCGGAGCATCCAGGCTTCCCACAGCCAGGGAACGTTCCGACGAGAGCCGGTCATTGCACCTGACAGGCTTGTCGGCCGGACGGTTTCTGTTAAAGCAGAAGCATGGAAGTGACCATCAGCCATGTGAAATAAATGAGGTTCCCACAAAACGAGGCAGCGGGGCAGCTGGTGGCTTGGGCCCATGTGGATCATTGCAGCGTGTTAGTGATTCTCCTCCCTTCAGCAGGACTAAGACTGGAGAAGCTGGAGACCCTGCGGAGGAGCGTGCTCAGTGCTCAGTGAGGGGGACGTGAGCCTCGTCTGCACCGAGCCTCTCTCCAGCAGATGCGGAAGAGGAAGAGGACTAAGAAATGACTGCCCAACGGAACCATTTCTCTGGCAGGCAGCGCTTGCAAGCGGTTAAGAAAAAATAAGATAGAGACCAGGCATGGATCAGTCTTCAGAGAAATTTTGTTGGGAAGGAGAACAATACTTTGGAGTGTGTTTTTAAAATATCCTAGGATAAGCCGGGTGTGGTGGCACCCTCCTGTAATCCCAGCCACTCAGGAGGCCGAGGCAGGAGGGTGGTTGTGAGTTCAAGGCCAGCCTGGGCTCCAAAGTGAGCGCAAGGCCAGCCTGAACTGCATAATGAGACCCTGTCTCAAAAGACCAAACAAATAAACATGTCCCAGGATAAAGAGGAGCGGGGAATATTTGTGGGCAGTGAGGGAGGAGGAGGACACTTGGGGCGGCTACGGCCATACCTGAGGGCAGAAGGGGACTAGAGGGCCGGGACAGAAGACGCAGGAAGGTGACGTGACACGCACACGATGCAAGGCACCTGGCCTGCAGGAAGGGTGTCCATCCTCGGACAAAAGAGAGAAGATGGTGAGGATGACCACAAGCGTGAGGCAGGGCCCACTGGCCTCTCTTCCCTACGGGCTGCTGAGGGGTGAAGCAGTCAGAGATGGGGTGGTGGCAGGGCAAAGATGTGCAAAGGTTGAGGAGCGAAGGGTCGGTGAGCAGTGCCGGCTGGGGAGAACTTGCAGCCTGTCAGGAGAGAGACGGAGGACTGAACATTTTGATTTGGGGTTCATGTTTGTTGCATGAAGTATACAGCCAGGCAATCGTGATGCTGATTTGTAATTTCGGCCTCTATTTTCCCCTTTCATAGCCAAAGATGATGCTTCTATCAGGGAAAGTATCCAACAGCATTTAAAGCGGGTGGAACCCCAAAAACTTCCTTTGGGAATTTATTTGCAAATACTTAAGTCTGTTGGGGAAAAGTTTGAAATGAGTGGAAGAGGCTTAGCAGGAAACAGGGAGAGACGGCACAGGATCTTAGGGGAGCCCGGCCCCCTCCGTCCCTCAGTGCATGCTCACAGGGTCACAGGGCTTTGCAGATGACTGACCAGCGCCGGGGCTGAACCGGGCCTTGGGATGTGGGGCGAATGCTGCCGTGGGCTGAGGGTGGCGGGAGAAGGGAGGCCGACAGCCGGGAGGGCTCCTGCGTGGGTCTCATCGCCGTACATCTGTCATCTGAACAACACCCTCCGACAGCAGATTTCATGCAACTGGACCTCACGGTGTCCTTTAGTGGAAGCCAAAAGCACAAAATCACAGCACAAAGGCCCTCAAGGTAATTCTGTCATGGAAGACATTGTCGCATGGCCAAGCCGGGGTGCCCAGCCCAGCCCCTTCCTTCTCATCCTCCACCGAGGGAGCTCTTTCTGCTTGTTCATTTGGGTTCAGGGCGGCCCTGAAATCCCTAGGGCAGCCTCTGAATGACTGCCCCCCAGTCCTGCAGCCGCTGGTCCTGATGCCGGTGGACCCACTGCAGTCGCTGGGGCAGTGGCAGCCCCATCGCCTTCCTGACTTTTCAGCATTGGTACAAGTAAATCCCTGGGGGGTGAAACCGTTTTCTTCTGGGTCCCTCATTGTTAGCAACCAACAGCATCTTAACTGACACAGTCAGCTGTGTTTCCCAAAGTCACATTCCTCTTCAAGTGGCAAAGATAGGTGGCAAACAAAATATCCTGTGCCCAGTCAAGTTTTAGGGGTACAGTGTCCCCGCAGTCTCCCTCGGAGGCTTCATTCCCAAGGGGACCCGCTGAATGGGGCCACTGTGTGAGCCGTCTCGCGGTCACTTTGGCTGCGCTGACATCTCTTTAGGTGTCCCCTGTGGAGAGCTGCTTGGTGAGCAGTGCTTAGCGCCAGGGTGGGCCAAGGCTCCCAGGCAGGATTTGGCCAGGGACAGAGTTCAGGCTGTTGAGTGAGAACCAGTCGGGTTCGACCTAGGAGGAGGACTGGGAGGGGCCGCACCCAGGCTCCCTAAAGTCTTGGTCCGGGTCAGGTCCCCTTAGCTCCCCTCTATGTGAGCTTCAGTAGGTCCTCAGGCGACACAGTCTGGCCCTCCTGGGCCTGCGATACACGGAAGACGGTTCTTTGCCAGAAACTCATTGCCCGGCCCGCGTGTCCTCCAGACTCACTCGCCTCTGGCACTTATCACATCTGTGACATCACCACACCTGAAAGCAAAGCTCTTCCCAGTTGTCTTTCTCTACCAAAGGCACCCCTGGAAGAGAGAGGTTCCAACACGGTCCCGTGTGGGCTTCACAGACTTGCCCAGTGTTCTGTCTGTAGATAGACTGACGGCCTTTGAGGACACAAACCAATCTTCCAGTTCATTCAAATACATTAAGTGCTTTCCCTTAAAATAGGTTACAAATGAAGCTTCCAGAACGGCTCTGGTGGGCAGGGTGGGTGCAAGTGTGGTAGGAACTGAATTGGGTCTCACGTTTGGGCCCCGTGCCAGCCCCACACTGTGGTCAACTCTCAGAATAAGTGAGAAAGGGTTTATGTTATAATTAGTTTGGAGGATTCCACCCTTTGTGGTGCACCACTGGAATTTAAATTTAGTGGTTATAATATCCCTTTGAAAGGCTAAAGGAAAGATATATGCTAATTATCCCTATATTTCTAGCCACATTAGACAATGCAACTGGGTCACCAATTAGAGAGACAATTGCAAAGTACACTCACCCTAGTTACACCGCATAACCAACAAATGAATGTGAAATGTACGTGGGGAAAAGCGTAAGACAGAACGAGCCAATGAGGAAAACATCGGAGTCTCCAGGTCTCCCCTGCACATCACAGCCCTTCCTTACCCTCTAAATCAATAATCCTGAACAAATCTCGGGGCTTCATGACCGTCCCTGGCCCCCCGATCATTTGCTGACTACATTTATAATTATAGTTGGACGAATTGCCTATATCAGCATTCA